TATGGAGGCAATTTCTGTCCAGAATTCATACCGAGCTTCCCTCAAACAATATAAGGCTCCTTCACACTGCGTGCAGGACAGTTTTCATTGCTGAGTTAATTCTGCCAGGACTTCTGCGAAATCATGCTTCTATTTCATCTATTTTGTGTTGCAAGATAGATAAAAACCTGATAATGATTAATTACAGAAAATATGCATGTAATAATTAAAGTAATACAATGCTAAACACATGCATATATGAATAATTATGTTTAGAATTAATAAATGTGTTTTTCTTTGTTCAGAACAGTAATGAAACATTATTCCTAGCTTTACCTAATTTAATTAAGGACAATTCCCTCTGCAATCCTCCTCAGGATACGTGGTTGGAAGATGGAATGAAGAATGGATGGATGGCAGGATGTATGGATGGATGGATGGATGGATGGATGCATAAATGCATGCATGGATGTAACAAATTCCCTAGGCTGACACAATGCTGTACCCTGGCAGGTGGAAAATGACATCACATCCCAAGCACAGTGCCCATGCAACCAGTGGAGACAGCCATCATTTCAGCAGACACCTTTCAGCAAATCTGCCACCCGCTGTCACCAATCAGGGCAGGAAATCACAGACGTGTTCGGGGCTTGCCCCCTCCCTCACTTCCTTGGAACAGACAGTGGGCGAGAGCTCTCTGCTGCCCTGGGGGCTTTTCAAAGCACCCCGTCGGATCAGACGGAACAATCCCCCCCCCCCCAACTCCCTGAGATGGCTCGGAAACGAATACCAGACCTTTGGCATGTCCCGTTACTCCCACTTAGAGGGGGGTAACAATGGGGCATTATGTTTTGTCATCATGTCCAAAGTCATAAACCGGAAGGGGGTGGGGGTGTCTCGTTGCGAGCTCTCACACCTGATGGTGTGCTGCACAAAAGGCCAATTCTCCAGGGGGGTGTGGGTGAGACATGAGGAGGACATTGTTGTGGAGTAAATAACAGCCCCTGTTCTCCTCCAGGACTCCTTGCTGATGATCTAATGGGCTGCACATCCCTGAGAGGAGAGGCCCTTCACAATGACTCTTCATCAGGAAGACTGGGACCCTATAAAGCTGAGACCCCCAGGGGGCGGTGTGTGGGGTTAGGACGCAGTGCCTGTGATCGGAAGGTCACCGGTTTAAGTCCCACGGTTGGCAAAGTGATTTCACCATTGGGCCCTTGAGTATGGCTCTTAACCCTTAATTTCTCCAAGGACAGACTGACCCTGATTTCTCAAAAATGCAGGCCACATTTGATAAAAGCATCAGTTAAATAAGTAAAATGAACTGTAACGATGCACATACATGAATGATGTCAACTGACTAGATTAGAGGCAAAAAAAGAAAACAACTCACCTCAATTAAATCTGTCTGCCAAACAGCAGTCAGTGGCACAAACAAAATGACACAATGATCTATCTTCTGTAAAAAGACCATGGGTACACAATACACAAGAAAGAAATACCAAACTGCTCGTGGGAATTTTCTGTTAACTATTAAGGGACTTGGACAGGTTTTCATTTCCACAAATGTTGCACCCCCCTGTGATTTAAATCATAAAAGAAAGAAAAAAAAAAGTTTTCATAGTTTAGAAAGACCAGCTCTTCTTGGTTCTTCTGAAAACTTACCTACACTAAAAACGATGTAGGCAAAGGCAAATTCCTGTCACAAACTGCAAACAAGATGTTTTATTGGCTATAGTGTTCAATTTATCACAGCATTTCCAGAATAAACATCTTTAAATTCAACAGCGAATTGCAAAGATAAAAATATGACACTTATCGTCCAGGGAAGTTATTAATTGTACAATATTTGAAGTTTAAAAAAATCACAGAATACGCATAAGGCAGTGACACGTCGTAATTTTATCATTCTCACTATATTTCAGACAATAGAATCTGTATCAGATTTTCCCAAGAGAAAAAATGATTACCATTCAGGAAGAAAAAATGGAGTGTAGGTGTTCGAAGAGCTTATATATAATGACAAACACTTGTCAGAGTGTCAGAGAGAAAGACACCCTCTCCATCACCGATTCCAGCCGCAGCGCTCGCTATCAGCGCCCTCGGCCATTCCTGCGCTGTGAGAGAGCGCCGCTGCAGCCCGTGTGCGCTTCGCAGATACCGCCATCCAGTCCGCTATCAGATCCGCGGGGAGGTGTCGCGGAATGACGCGCAGATGCTCCTCTGAAGCTGGAGCGGTGCCATAGACTACGCGAACGATGTTTCAGACGCCTTAATTCGTGTTCTGCGATGGAGACACTATAACGTCATCCTGCAGTTCATGTCCCGGTATCTAGCACGTATCCAGCGTTTGACGCTGTTTTTTCTGTGGCCATTTATGCCACCATATAGTAAAGGTGCGACCATACAAATGAACAAACAAATAAATCCAAGTCAATATTATAACGTTAAAGTAAAGATCGTACAATGTGATGCCCGTTCAACAAGTTTTTCATAAAATCCGGTATAGGTAGTGATGGGGAAGTTACTCAAACGCTCTGGATTTGTACTTTCTGGACCCGAACTTTCCACCTCCGTCTATAATGGATTACTTTGGTGAATAACTTCCCCGATCCTGGGTGCAGGGCCACAGTGCACGCCGGATGGGATTGCAGGCCATCGCAGGGCACGCAGTCACAAACGGCTAAGCCGTAACCCTGCAGAGCCGGCACGATCGGTACTTAGAGCTATAAATATAAAAGCCCAGGGAGAATACGAAAGCATCCACGGAGGTGCGAGGCAACAGGGCTCAAAACAATGGGAGTTAATACACTTAAAAACCTTCTTTTTGGCATTAGAAAATTTGTACCTTTAATTATTTATCTTGGTTATTTAATTAAGCCAGAATAAGTCAGAATAACCTCGGTTATTGAAACCACCCCCCCACACACACACACACCCACACATACACATACACACTCACAAATAATTACCCCTCCTCTTCGTTAACGACTGAATCTTCTTCAGGATCTAATGCTAAATCCTTGCTTGCCACCTCCTGGCAGAAGAAGGGATTGCGGCGGCAAAATGATTTATAGGCCCGTTGGCCTCTATGTTACGTAACGTTTCACGTTGTCGAATGTTTGTAAAATGACAATCCAAGAGGATATGTGCTAAATACCAAACAACATTCAGTGCATTGAGTTTTGTTTAAGTATAACATGCTCGCATTTTCAGGTGTGACCTACTGAGGGTTTCATTTTGTATTACTAATGCCAGGAAGTTGGCGCAGTTCGAGGTCCATAGTTTTTGCAAAAGATAAATAAGTTTGTCTGTCAGCACACGCAATACCGATTGAATTCTTGCAGATGTACTTGTTTCATTCACAGACAGCCCCAGTCCGACTCCCACCCCCCTCCAGAGATGGAGTCCTCAGGTAAATCCTCACTCGGAACACGCACAGACACTCCTGCAAGCCTGAAGTGAACTGCGGGGATGCAGGTTACCCCCAGTGCATGCTGGGTATACCAGATCTGGTCTTTCTGCATTTCTCCCATGTTTCGCTTCTCAACCTCAGGCACAGAAAATATGATGGTAAAAGGCAATATTTTTCAATAACAGTCTTGCAGGTTAAAATCCCAAGAATTCCCAAGAGGTCAATAGAGGGATTCATGGAGCAGATGGGTTTTAAGGCATTTCTGGAAGGTGGAGGCTGATGACTGGATGTGGTTCTGCTGCTTGCTCCACCATCGGGGATCCACACATTCGAACCATGTGGAGAGACACTTCTTATGTGGTGGAGGGGGCTCGAATCATTACCCCCAGGTTAACAGCAGGCCTTGGTGGAAACAGTGTAATTCTGCCTGTACAGTGATTAAAGAAGAGGATTCCCATAGGTTTCCATAAATGCTGTCTGGCCTGCCCCCCTATTCTGAAAACGGACCTCCCCAGTGAGCCAGGGAGCTGGGGGCATCACCTTGTTCCCTTCCTCATTCCCTCCCAGGTGAACATCTTCACTGGGTCTCACCACAAAAATACGAGAATCGTTACTGGTTCATCCCCTTTTGGAGGCTGATGTCACCTCTGTGACTATGCGTCCAGTCAGCAGCTGTGTTGACCACCACTCAAACCATTCATCTGTGTGGGGCTGCTGAAAAGAGTCAGAACTTCGCCTTGGCAGATTCCAGGAAACAGAACAATGATAATGGAAACAGATATCCTTCCATAGTCTTCGTGTGCGTTTTTGTGCGATGGAATCACCGTGAAAACACAGCAGAAACACACAAGGCAAATCTTGATTTTTTTCACTCTTCAGTGCAGATATTTTCCCTTCTTTCCTTGTCTCCATGACCTTGTAGACAGCCGTACAGAACGCCTTCTCCCACATGATTAAACACATTTTTATATTTTAAATGCCCCCCTGCTTTTGGTTATTACACACAGAATCAAAGAGCCATCCTCTTCGCTTTAATAGGAGGATTCAAAGGTAGCCTCGACACACCGGAGAAACTCCCTCACCATGCCCTGAGGCACCTGTCAATTCCCACCATTTGAAATATCATCACTGGGAGTGTGTGAATCATTTGGGGGAAGCTTTACTGAAGGACACATGCATCACTTAACTGAGGTGGAGAATCTTTGAAATATTTACAGACAATTCACTTAATGGGAAAAAAGGGTTGCTGAAGCATTTTTTAGGGGGAAACATTGTTTGCAGTTGCCTGGCCTCTTATAATAAGATTTTCTTTCTGTGCAGGAGAGCAGTGTAGGCAGAGATCTGCTGGATAAATAAATGGCACAAGTTATTTTAAAAAAGAATAATAATAATCGGTCCATCTTCCACCCGCTTATCCTGGTCAGGTTCACCCTGGACAGGATCCTAGGTAGTCACATGGCACAAATATGCATGCACTGCCATACAAATAAGTCCAACTATGTGCCTTTTGGCTGCAAAAGAAAGTCAGATAATAATAATAATAATAATAATAATAATAATAATAATAATAATAATAATTATTATTATTATTATTATTATTGGATGCTGTGCCTCTGAGCGGAAGGTTGCAGGTTACAATCCTACACTTGAGTGGTATCACTTTTGGGCCCTTGACCAAGGGCCTTAACCGCCAATTGCTCCAGGGACTGTCTGACCCATTTTTCTCAAAAATATGTCACTTTGGATAGAAGCATCTGCTTTATTAAAAATGTCACAACAACAAAGATAATAATAACAATGGGGCGAATGGCTTCACAGTGAGGTGCTCTGTGCTTTTTTTGGATACTTTGGAAGCCTTTTCCGTGTCCTGTTAGCCAAACACTTCTCATGCTCCCCTGGAAGGGACCATCCCACGTTAAAGCTCAGGTCCATTTCCCAGCTCATGCACAGATGGAAATGTATTCCACCTCTATCTAAGGGCCTAAAGCCTCCTCGGAAGAGATGCTCCTCTGGGATCCTATCCATTACGAGCTGATCCCTGCCGTGCCAAGGTTAAGCTTCTCATCTCTCATTAGTTCCTTGCACTATGTAATGATTCTTTGCTTTTGGTTTATCGGTGATTGGTTTCCAGGTGTCTCTTCCCCCCATGCTCTAAGGGCAGCACTGGGTCACGGCATCATTATGGACTCCTCTTGACAGCATTATCGCTAAAGCTACATAATTCATCTTCACACACACTGGATGCGTGTTCATTTAACACGTGCTAATGGATGAACCACCTCACATGTTCTGTTTGAGTCTGACGCGCAGGAGCAGGACAACAGAAGTCGAGCTCCGTTCTTGTAAAGCTGAACAAGCCTGAAGCCGACTATCTACGTAGACGAACACGGATAAGTTAGGAACACCTCACCTGACCTGCTTTGTGAAATACCCTCAGGGTCCAGGAATATTATCCATCACCTGCATCGTGATGTCATTTCCTGGCAGGGGTGGTTCAATGTCTTTCAACCTGCCTCTGCCTGGCTATTCCAGCTGTAGATCCAGATGCTTTAGCAACCCAGCACATTTGCGAGGCATGTTGCCACAACTACAGTGGCACGTGTTAGCTGTAATACCGCAGACAGCTGCCAAGCGCAGCATTCCGCCAGGCGACCATGCTCCGTGAATCAACGCAACGTGCCGTGGCTTCGTCTCAATGTTCATTTTTGGGGACAGTGTCACATGACCACGAGATTTACCTTTAGCATCCTGTAACAATCCATTTGCCTAAACGTTTATGATTGTCTCCTGAATGCTAATGCAACTTACCCAACCTCATTCCAATAAAAAAGCTATGATTTCCATGAATAAAAAGAATAAGTCAATGATTATACAGTGCAGTTTGCATTTAGCAAAAACTCATCCTGAAAATATATCGTTCTTCTACAGACACACAAATGATCGCCTCAATGACTCACCAATAACGTTAGCCTATTCCACAAGATGTTCTGTTAGGGGACGCTTTCTGCGTTGTGATTTTCCTCATCCCCGGCACACTTGTTGTTTGCCGTTTGCTGGAAGTAAGCAAACGAGAGCAAGCCAGATGTGAAGCACGTGTGGATAGACAGTCGTCCTCCAGGATCCTTGCCAAGGTCAGTAGTGTGAGTCACTGAAGTGCAATATTATTTCATTGCTACACCATCCTTCAGTCTTTCACCACTGGAGTATGAAATTATCTCTCTCTGGCTTTTATCTTCTGTCTGGACAGCTGGTGGGGATGCAGCAGAGGGCTTATGAAGATACAGGGGGTTTGGCCTGTGGTGTCGAGTCCATCAGCGCCAGGTTCTACAGATCATATGTCCTGTTTTCACGATCATCTTACTATGAAATGTCTGTATTTTCCCAAGTCATGTTTTCCTCCATGCCTGAGCAAAAATCTGACGTCTAACTGCTTTTGCATTAGCTAAACAAATCACACTTTGTTGATTTGATTCCGGTGATTAGTAATACTTCTATCAAAATTACAAAAAACTTGATTGATTACTGGATTTTTATGAGGTTTTTATTATACCTTTCCTCTGTCTTACTGTAAGCACCTTAATTTGTATTTGTAATCCTTGCTTTGTGTTTACTTTGTAATGTAACTGACAGTTATTGTGAATATGACGATAAACTCTGGAATCCTGACTCTCAAATGCAGAACCTCTTCAATTAGCGGCACTCCAATGCACAAAATAAAGTGTTTCTAGGTTTCGTGATGCACTGCGAGCAAAGCCAGGCCAAACTATGGCTCCATCCAACTGTCCAGTGTTGTCACTATACATTATTCCCAGCCTATTTTAGTATCATGTGCTTCAAGACTCAGGAACAGCTTCTACTACAGTAATAAAAAAGTTAAATACACACTGATAACAGTATATTCCCAATTACCACTGTTATTTATAAATCACTGGCACTTTAAACATCAGTGCCTTGTCCTACTAATATGTCACTGTATATTGTATATATTCTGTGCTACTGTTCACTATTCTGTTATTGCTGTTTATTGTTGCTCATCACCATCTTGAATAAATCTGCAGAGACACAAGTACGCATCTCATTGTACTCATACTTGTACAAATGACAATAAAGCTTTCAAATTTGACCTGAATCTGATATTTCAATGTCACTCTAAAAAAGACAGAGCAATAAACATCCCCTCAAAACATACGGATGCCAGCATCTCAGTGTGTCTTTTGCCAAGTCGTGATGCAGTTTGGCTGACGATCACATGATTACGTGTTATTAAAAACACACATTGCTTAGTCAGTAGCATCTAGAGCCACATACCGCCAGGATCTGGGGACTGAATCCTGCCTGAACTTTGGGCATTTTTAGATTCCGCATCTTCTGTGAGAATTTCCTCCCACCATCCAAAGACATGAAATTAGGCTAATCAGTGTTTCTAAATTGCCTGTATTGTGTGATTGATGGTGTGTATATTTGTGCCCAGGGATGGAATGACACTCAGTGAAGGGTGTATCTTAGCCTTGTGTCCTGGGATAGGCTCCAGGCCCCCCTCTGTGACCCAGACCAGGATAAGCAGTTGCAAGACGGATGGTCTTTTAGTTTTTTCATGATAATGTAATAACGGCCGTGGCTATCTGACCCATGGGAATACATGCTCATTGTGGGAGATTATGTTCCTCATTAAACCAGGGAGATAACTTTGGGAAACAGTTCAGCTATGATTTCCTTGACCTCTGTCTTTATTTTCTCTTCACTTATAATCTATTTTGGGCATAAGCCCTGAAGGTAAGCTCTCAGTCTGCACCCAAAGACATCTGTCAGCTCACCAGGGTGAAAAGCGGCGGCGTTTCCAGTCATCAGCCGATATTTGTGCCTGGGGGCCCGACTTCATCTTCAGTACTTTTTGATTCCAAAGATATAAGCAGAAAAATCATGGATGAAGAACTCACTTTAAAATAAATATTTAAAGAGCGACAAGGAGAGAAAAACATTTTGATGTTTTCTCCTTTTGACTAAAAACACACAGTGACTCCAGCCCACAAGAGCAGGGGAGCGTGGCGTTTTCACTCAACCTCATTTTTGTTTTCAAGAATGACTTTTGATCCTAGTAGCTTGAAGCACTAACAAGTGCCCTTGCTCAGTTAGAGTAACAATCAGTTGGTTAAGCTAAAAAGCTCCACCCGTTGTGGCCAGGGACTGGGTAAGGAATCAGTGCTCTGTAATTATGAACAGTGCTGTCATGCTCTTCTGTGGGAAACAATCCCATTCAGCTGGAATTCGTCTGGAAGGTTTGGGAAACACAGGCCCTGACAACGGTGAATAATGAAATATTTGTGGTAGAAAGTGTCAGCTGTGGGGCGGCACCTCCAGTGTCCAGGGAAATTCGGCAAAATATCTGCACGGCTTGAATAATGACTGATCGTTCCATTTTTGTCCATGAAAGATAAACTCTGCCTGACATTCAATATGGCTGCCTAATTTATATTGCTTCATGCTAGTCCAGAGGGGAATGAAAAAAAAATATATATATATGTGTGTGTGTGTGTGTGTGTGTGTGTGTACGACTGTTTTCTCTAAAAGCCCTCTTTGGCCTTATTGGCAGAGTAATTTATTAGCCTCCCCACCAAGAGCTTTGAGTCAGTGCATTTGCCAGCGACTTATTCGCATCCCATTTCAACCGTTTGTTTTTCCAAATTCAGATATTTATAAGGGGCAGTAAAAGACTGAGTCTCAAATGAGATTTGTATTTATCAGAGTCTTTAAAACTGCAGTTACACATCAATTATTATATTTAGAATGTTTATTACTTTGGTATTCACGTAGGTTAAATGTTTATTACTTTGGTATTCACGTAGGTTAAATGTTTATTACTTTGGTATTCACGTAGGTTAAATGTATCTTAACTGAATTACATTTATCTAGGTTCAAATTTCACCCTTGCTTTGGGTGTTTAGAGTATATATGTAGATTTTTCTGAGAAGAAGCAAAAACGTGGACTGTCTAGCAGGGAGCTGGGAGGGAGCAAAAACGTGGACTGTCTAGCAGGGAGCTGGGAGGGAGCAAAAACGTGGACTGTCTAACAGGGAGCTGGGAGGGAGCAAAAAACGTGGACTGTCTAGCAGGGAGCTCAGAGGGAGCATTATCGTGGACTGTCCAGGGGTCCCCGAGACCCGGGTTGGGAAATACTGCTCTAAATTTTCCACAGTGTGTGTGTGTGTGCCCTGTTACGGGCTAGCAGCTCACCGAGGGTGTACCCCTGTACCCCTGCCCTGTGCCCAGTGTTGCTTGGGATGGGTTCCAGGTTCCCCATGACCCTGATCTGGGTAAGTGGGTGGAAGACGGATGGTTCTAATCTTTTACTAATACCGTTAACACTGTGTTCCGCTGAAATTCAACCAAACCAGCTGACACGATTGCCCCCTGTTGCCGAGTCAGGATAAACTTTGGGTTCTTTCATCTACCCTTAAGATCACATATTGCCCACATATTCAGGAGAAACGGAAAGCTGCTTTTCAACAGGAGGGAACACGGCAGGACATTGTGATCATTCCGCCTAGCAACTACACGACAACCATTTGTTAAGAGTCTCAGTATCCATTCGGGCAAGCAGGATCTCAAAATACAAATACATGGACTGTTTTCTCTAAAACCCCCTATGAACGTATTGGCAGCATGATTTATTAACATGGTCTGACTTTGATTGATTTTGTTAGAAATCAATTCAATGACAGCTATTTATCTGGATTACAGTTCAGTCGGGTTTCATTTTTCAAATTCAGGTATGGATAATGTACAGAACAAGATATTTATGCTATCTTACCTTCGTCTTTCCCTCGTGGCGCATTCACAGTTTATGTCCTACGTCATTTATTAGAAAATAACCAACAATGCGCCAGAACCATTGTCCGACCATGCATATTTATCCAGTGCCAGTAGATGGCAGCATACACCGTTATAAGTTGAAAAACAATATTAAACAGCATTATTTTAGTATTAATTTTCGGTAGAATATATTACGTTATATATCATGTTCCTAAGATTTATGAATATGAATGTTTAAATATCAAGCAACATTTACTTGATGCAAACCCTGAAAAACGTATAGATTATTACTTTTTCCAGCATGTGATGCTCTGCTTCCCCGTGGATATCTGTGGATATGGTATGCCTGTGGATACGACGTTACAATTACGGACTATGCCCACGTATAGTCCTCATCCGGTACAATGTGCTTAAACCACCATACCCCCCGCTTTTATTATGCACAACTTGCCTTCATCCTGCATGCTCTCTCTCTCTGGTTCAGTAGTCAGGCGGGCACCCATATAAACAAACGCACATACGGATTCTAATCATGGAATGATTGATCATTTCAACTGGGGAATGAATATGGAATTAACAAATGCCATTTAACTATTTTCCAGTGATAACAAAGCTACACATTTGAGAGGTTCAACTGTCTGCGAAGCTGTCACAGATTTGATCCTTGGGCGCTTACGTTTAACTATGGCTCTTCCGCTGCATCTCGTAGCAGTTCGTTACCGTTCTAACATTGCTTTGCAACGTCTCTGTAACAGGCAGGTTGCAAGCTTTTGTTTTCCTTCCAAAAATCAATTTCAAAACATCGAGAAGGTCCCCCAGTCCTGCTTTAGGGGTTTACCCTATTTTTCATTCTTAATTATAGATGTTGTTATTTGCATATTTTTTTAAAATCCTGGATTATTCGTTCTTGGTTAAATCATGTTACAGGTAGAGCTAACAGGTAGAAATATTGCCCACTTTGGTAGATAATGTTAAACTCATGTTACTAATACAGCATTACCTGTGAAATTACATGACAGAAATAAAGATTATTTTTAGGTTCTAGGTCTGATTAATTCAACATCATATGTCATTTACACTATTCCTCTGTTTTATTGCTCTATATCCAGTGGAAGGAAAGGAAAATTTGAGTTAATTTCCCCAGTCTGTCTGACATGGGGAATCTTCAACGGCCTGGTGACGGAAACCTGGTGCTGTTGAAAAGATCCTTTCCAAGGGCCCAGTAAAGTAGTTGCATTTATTTCTCAAAGGCTTGAAAAAGAATTGTGTGTGGAATATCTAGTGAGTACAGGTTCACAGCAGCCTGAAGGATACAAGGGTGAAAAGAACTTTTTGAGAAGGTACTGTGATTTATGGCATGACGATTCAGCATTATGAGTCACCATTAAGCTTGCTGTCAACCATGGCAGATGGTTAAAAGACGACTATCAAACCATGGAATATTCTCCTTTGTTCCCCTAAAAGATACACAAGATACTGGATTCTTCTATCAGTGAATTTATTTGTTTTATTTGTATTGGGCATTACCACACGCAGAAGGCTTAGGGCTACAAAATGAAAGTGTTTATTTTTAAATTTCATTAAATGAAGCGACGCTGTGTCGCACGCTTGATTCTGTCACATCACCGTCTCAGCATGAAACTCAGACACATAAAACCAAAGGCTTCATCTCAGATATTTCAGTGATGACATTGTGGCCCTTTCCCCTGAAATATCTATGATGTTTAGCAACGGTTGGTTGGTAACTGAGAATTAAACTTCGCCTCACTCATCGTGCCCCGCAGATATATATTCAAGGGTTGCCAGGAAGGTCTGTCTGATGCTTCTGTGTTAGATTAATTCAGCTCACACCTCCGGAATAGCTTCTCCAGTGTGCTGAGTGAACCTGAGGACATTGAGGCTGAGTAGACTATGTTCAAGGCCTCAATCGTTACAAAAAGTGGTGACCAGAACGAGGTCGTTGCCTGCCATGGCAATGACCCTAGGACCAGCTGGTGGACACCAGCGGTGAGAGAAGCTGTCGAGCTAATGAAGAAAGCCTTCAAGGCAGTACTGTCAGCTGAAAGGCAACGACAGACCAGACGGGCTGCAACAAAGGCAGTCACGGTGGCAAATGTTTTTATGCGGAGCAGAGGCCATGGGGAGAGGCTATTGGGTGATTCCCAAGACAGTTTGGCAAACCCTTGAACTACTCCTTCAGACAGAAGAGCCAGCTGAGGCAGTCTGGGAATCTTCTAAGGACACCCCCTGGAGGGATCCCAGTGAAGCTGTTCCAGGCTTATCCCACTTGTTGGAGGTCCTGGGGCAGATCCAGGACATGCTGGTGGGATTGTATCTCCCAGATGGCTTGGGAATGCTTGCGGATCGCCCGGAACGAGTGCCCTTGCAGAAAGAGGTCTGGGATGACCTGTTTGGCACACTGCCTCTCTGAAGATGGATGAATGAATGAATGGATTCACTCATCATCCTCTCCTCCTCTATTTAGAATTGCAGCTCACCTTTAATGCTCCTCTGACCTCATCATTCAGCTGCACAAATGATTATTCTGCTTATTAGTACAGAACTAAACAGCTGCACTCAGGATAGCATATAGTCATGACTTTGTGACTCTGGTTGAATAAAATCAGTCATTTCCTATTTTTTTTTTTTAGTTCATTCCTCCACCAACATTTGCAATCACATTCTTAGCTACATAACCCTTCTGTAACCTAACACTGTGGATTCTCCTACTGCTTTCACATGCTCTTTTATCATTAAAAGCACCTGCGTGCCGTCCGCAGACATGTGACTCATCCGCATGGGTGGGGGCTGAGCGGCAGGCCTCACGATAAACAGAGGCTTTCATTAGGAGAGAAAGGTTCCCTGTAATGAAAGGCACTCACTGGGAACTGTTACTGCATTACGCCATGAGGGCAGAGCTGGGCTCTGTGCAGGTGCTGCTGAGCTCCGCAGGTGTGATGAGATGTTCCAGCTGAAAGCTCTGTGCTTTTTGATTCCCCCCATAGTCACATGACTATCATTATAATAGACTCACACTTTAAGGGGCTTAATGGTTACTTGTATAGTCAAGGGGTGTTTCTCAATACCAACAATGCAAGGACCATACTTGTGGTCTTGGCAAGACCGGTCTTGCTAATTTGCCTTCCAAGAATGAACTTGGGACGCAATGAATCATGGGATTGGTCTCCTTCTGCGAGGACGCATCCAACATGTCCTTGATATTTGGGATGGGACAAGAATAACATCCGGGGATTTTTACCATTCTCCGTACTTCTGTTCTTCAGCATTGGAAATGGTCTTCGGCAATGGAATATGACGTAAAACGGGTGCACGAGAACCCAATACAGTAAAGTATGCGTATTGAGAAACATCCAAGGATTGTCCACTTATTAATCTATGCATCATTAGTTACCCATAAACAAGTCGATCCCTCATCAGCTTTCCCACCCTAGGGGACGTCTACTGAGCAAAAGGCTCTTCCTCTTCAACCAATGTCTTTGTTGAAGAGACCATAGTGAAAACAAGGCATTATCCATCTGCACAATAGACCCTCTGATATGCAGTTCTGTTGACTGATTATTACACTAAGGGGACAGGGGAAGCATTCTGCCTTTCTGCTACCACAGAGAACATAACTGCTTGTCTCATAAAGGCGCCTAGTTGTCAGAGACACACTAAGCGCGTGGTAAGAGATAATGGCGTGGAATTTGCATAGATCGCTTCCAATGCTCGACAAAACAGGCGAGCGTATCATTCATCCTCGCCCGCCTGTGTACCGCTCTGCCACTAACCGGCCTCTCAAAGAACTTCGGCTGTGTGATAAAATGCGTGATTCAGGAGGCAATGTCACATGGAGCTCAGCGGCACTGAGGAAATGAAAGAGGCTGGCCTAAACGCAGACCTGCACGTCAACGATACAACGTGGAGCTAACCTTGCCTACCCAACATCAGATGCAAAACCACAAGGAGTTATATTTCTGAACAGCTGCAGGTTGTTTTGATCCGCTTTCGACAGCTACAGATGTTAAATTATAGGTGTGTTCAAGCCTACAAAGTGGTTTTACATAATTTGGTGGTGCGATGGGTAACACTGTTTCCTCACACATCTAGGGCTGATTGTTTGCATGCACCGTTCCATATATAATTCATTCCCATAATCCCATGCGGCATGCATTTCCAAAGCTAGGGAAATTGTGTGTGTTTCTATTGCAATAGATTGGAATCCTGTTCAGGTTGGTCCCCTGACCTGTGTACAGTAGTGGCATTTACTACTGCGCAAACCACACATATGTCAGGGGTCCCTGAAGCTTGCAGGGGCCGGTTGGCCATAAACAGTCACCAAAATAAATATTAAATAAGCACATTATTTAGAAAATGCTAAAGCAGGTGGAGGGAGGCAAACCTTACCTCAGAACCCCTTACCTAATGATTATGGGTCTGGAGCTTCTACTTCGTAAAGTCCAGGCGAGACTCATCACAGTGGACACAATCAATCTTATAAGTGCTTAAGATACAAGCTCTTTACTCTAAAAATGGCATCTACATGGCAGTACAACTGGTTAGTTTACAAATAACACAATAAGACCATTTAAGAAATAACATATTATTGTGTTGTGTTGTGCACTAATATCATATTTCCTTGGGTTTCAGACTCACCGTATCAGGTGACCAGCATGATCAATAGTATTTCATTGACCCAACAAAAGCTTTAGCTTGATGTGAAGTGGGTGTATTAAAACTGAGTAGGTCCTGCTGATGTCTCGGTACGTGGAGAGTTACCACTGATGGATGAACATCTGGACATGGAGGAAGTGACCAGTGAACCAATGTTTGAGACACCAGGAGCATATGTAGGCCATCCCTGACCATGGAGTTCCTCAGATGGGTCAGATGGGCACTAATATAGAGTCAAAGGAGCCATGGGTCCAGCACAGGATCGCTGCCTAAGATCTAACAGCTTTGAAAGCTTCTTTTCTATAAACACAAACCCATCGCCATAGGTGACCCGACTTCTCCTCTACCTGCACTTAATGTGTTCAGAGAGTGAGGGGCCGGGAATGTGGCTGGCGGGAACCGTAGGTTGGACACTTTCATTTTGATCTCTGTGTGGTGCATCACCTGCTTGGCTATTGGAATAGGAGATTTAATGTTCACCTTCACCAGGCAACCGAAATCAGTACCGACCAGTGGATTCAAAGAACAGCTGGGCTGCCGGAGATGCAGAAGATTATTATTTTATTCCACCTTAATTGTAATTTGATTTCTGACATTGTATCATAGTGGCCCAATGTATTCCCTTGTGGCAGAAGCATTAATTGTAACTTGATAGAACAAAGCTTTACTTTAATCCTATTTCTGTTCATTTCTGCCTTTAGAGAAAATAGTATTTAATTAAATAGCCGCCTGTCTACTAAAATTCCAGTTCTCCACCCTGAGGCCACTTGCAGCAATAAAAGTAATATTACTGCCACGAAATAAACTCAAAGCAAATAAAGGCATGTTTCCATTTTAATACAAATGCTGTCATTCAAAAACATGTAAATTGAAACTCTTATGGAGCCCTCAATTAATTCCATATCATTCTACAAAAAAGTTAGGCTTGCCTTTCGAGCCACTCTCTTCCAGGTCTTTGCAGAGGCGGTTACTTGGTTATGGTCAGATGTCTGCTAAGGTTACCGAGATGCCTGGAAATTCGAGCGTGCATTCAGAACAATGAATGGATACTTGGAGCCAGACAGACGGGACTGAGTTAATGTGGCGGAGCTTTTCTAAGCAGCGACTTCGCAGCTGATCCTTGGCCATGAGGGGAGGCAGTATTAAATAAACCATGTACTAGGACCTAAATGACCTTCACTTCATTTTGTAACCTCGATTCCCCCAAAAGCACACAGGAATGTGGATTTTATCTTTAGTGGTGGAACCAGTGCAGCCAGGGCCCCGAAGTCATTTTCTGTATTTGTGTGAACCAGTTCATTTCCTGTGCGATCCATACAGGTTGTTTTCAAAGGGCAAATTCCATTGGCTGGTCTTTCTTTTCGAAGTCGTGCGAGATAAGGACGCTTCTCGTTTAGAACACCTTAAGAACTTAGTGACCGTGGCTCAGCTGTGATGCATCACAGATGCCCCCCCCCCCCACCGATGCCGTCGCGACACGTTGTTCCCGTTGCCATGCTGATAATCACACGGTTTGACGCCCTCAGTTCCCCTTCCAGTATGCCGTGATGTCCTGCTGTGCTCCGTTGTACACGGCGAGCATCCAGACTGCCCTTCACGGTCATTACAGACCAAACACTACCCAGGCCACCTTTGAGCATAACTGTCAGGGCAGTGAACGCAAAAAGGAAGATCAGCAAACGTTTATTGAGGAAGAGTGAGCCCACACAAGTAGGGCGGAGAACTAACACAGGAAAAGACTTAAATATAACTATGATCCAGGGATAACATGCTATATAAAAAAAACCAGACAATTAACAGATTAAACCAACATTTACATCACACTAAACAACAAACACTAAAATGACAGTCAACCTGATTTCAGAAGAAAAGCTCCTTGTCACCTTTGAGCTAGCTAAATCATCAGGTTGATGGACCATTCCATATTTTGACTTGCACTGCAATTTAAAAACACTATAGGTTGATCGCCTGTATCTGGAGCTTCCAGTGGCTGGACCCACTGCACACACACCCATACATGCTTGGATTGTGCTATGCGAAAGGTCTCCACAGGATTGCCACCAATCCCGCTAAGAGGTCTAGCTTACACATATGTACCTTGTCTATGACCTACAGCTGAGTTGAGGTGAAAGACTGCTGTTCATCCTAGTCGTTAAACCAAGAATTTTTCCATTTAGAGTTCAGTTCATGACATCAGAAGCGATGTTCTGTGATTTGCACAGGGCTTCAGTTAAAATATTAGCTGTTTTCTAAGTTAACACAGTTATGCTGGTGGTGACAGAGAAAACCTTAGAGATGACGATGCCTGCAGACTGCGGTATCTTCTTAGCTGACGGAGCAGGGGTCATCTTTGCTGGGCTTCACCTCACCCTGCAGGAGTTGGATCATGACGGCCTTGGTCAGGTAGCTGGACGTCCCCCCTTTTCCCAGTGGGGGGGTGTTGTAGAAGGCCTCCATGCTATCCTGGACACAACAGGACAATTCTACTGACGACCACTGCTGAGTAGATGAAAAACTATTGTGTACTTAGTATTTTAATAGTCTACGCGCAGTGTATCCAATATTTTAACAGGTTAATATACTGTGTAAAAAAATAAACTAAATAAGATATTCATATTACAAGAGAACAAAAGAACAAACATTAGAGGAAGAGTTATTTTAGGTTAAATTATTCATAAGCCACTTAGTGAAATAACTGAATTTCAATAAAATTGTTAACAAAAAGAAAATTAGCCTCTATGGACAATCATTAACCTTTTCCTATCTCATCTCATAACAAGGCTATGGATGCCAGTGGCAAAGATTAACAATTACTGTATGTGTATGACAGTATGCAGAAAGACGGACCTGCTTCTCTGCACCCTCCAGTCGGCTCCTGTCTCTCTGGAAGTCACTGAAGGCGTCCTTCACCAGCCTGTCCAGGTCTACTTTCTCATGGAATTCCAGCTCAGGATTCCGTTCCAGGACAATGGAGACGACCATAAGCAACTTGATGCACACCGTGGGAAAAACGTATAACAGAAACATTGAGTAAGATAACTGAATGATTCACACAGAATGACGTGATTTTATTGCTGAAGTTAGCTGGAAAAGATTTACAACAAAATAGCTCGGATTAGAGAAGCAGTAGTCAAACCTGTTTTTGGTAGGTTTCCGGTTGATTCGGTACATCTTGGCCAATTGTATCTTACCTCTACGATGATCTGTCTGTATTCCGGCAGCACAATGTTCTTCAGAATGTCCTCCACCAGGAGAGAGAAGTTCATCTCATACATCGTCATGTCAGAAAGGGTCGGTTGCTAGGAGGACGGCATAGAAAAGATGGTCTTTAGGCCGGTCCAAGCATCCCGCCAGTGCACAGGTCAGGCCTAGGCTTTAAATCACTGCAAGCGATGTACTTCCTGTCCTGCAGGAGTAATTTATTTCAGCTTAATGAAGAAATTAGAACCTTTGGAAGGGCCGTTTTGAGAAACGTCGCATCCCTGTAGCATGGGGCCACTCTAGCTGCTGTGCATTGTGGGTAGTGTATTTGTGCATTCTGTGCAGTACTTTCAAATCCTGAAATGCAGGTGGGATTGACTGTACTTCTTAAGCTTTAAATACAAGTGACTGACTGAACTTAAAGTTCTCCTCTGAGCTACACTTCATCAGGCAAGTGGAGTAGAGAGTAACCCTAGGAGACCTCATTTGATGCCTTAAGCAGAAGCTAACCAGCTAATGAGTCATGTGACATCTGCCTTGTCTCACGTGTCCCACCAGTCATCTTTCTGTTCCTTTCTGGGTTGCCACCGACCACCTAGATCTACTTGATAGTAATAACTTACACCACATATTAGCATGAAAACCAATTACATTTTATTACAGCCAGAATTGCTAGTAGAAAACTCTCTGTCCCTTGTTCCTGGAGTTTCTTTCAAGTGAAATTATTCCATTTCATGTCTGATCATATACAGAGATGTTGGGCCCTTATAAGTAGCTCTTGCACCCACCTGTGGGAGATGTTGCCCACCGACCACAATGCCGTTGGGCGTTCTCTCCAGAATCTGCCACACTCGGTCATAGAACCCGAGAGGCGTCCGATTCAGCGAACCGTCAATCTGACGCCTGTTCAACCAGGAGCTAAAATCGGAAGCATTACATAAATAAAGCCAGCTGTTAAATTCTACAGTTTGCCTTATAACCGATGGCGAAGGCACTATACCGTCCAGTCTGGTGCTGCTGCAGAACGTCCAAGAGCAGCTGTTTGACATCACTAGGAGAGAGCTGATAGACGTCCTTAGGAGGCAGATCTCCCCCTCTGATCTCCAGCTCGTGCTTCATGGCTTGGATGATCCAACTGCATCACAGCAGGGAACGGGACAGATCAGATCTGCAAGAATCTCCCAAAGATTTAGGTTTTTATGGGTGGTGAGATGCTCCGTCTCCATACCCGATTCTGATTTTGAGCATCCCGCTGAAGAGTTCGGGGGTGTTGGAGATGATCCAGCCGATATGGATGACGAGTTCCTGCTGCAGCACAGCCTCGCGCTCTCCGTGTGGACTGCACTTGCTGTAGATGATGTCCTTGATGACCTCAGGAGACAGCGGATTGGAGATCACCTCCTCCTCGTGCCCGAAGATGCCCAGGGTCACCTGGCAAAAAGTCAGCCCAGCCTGCATCACCCAACTTCACTTCAACAGACCAACAAAGCTGCTTATATTGGCCAATACTTTAATTGTAACACTGGATAACTAGCCTATAAAACAGAAATACTAGATATCTAAAGAAACCAATAAGTAAATGGAAGATGCATCCCTGTAAGCATTACAATATACAGACGCTCCTCTACTTACGAATGAGATACGTTCCGAACAGCCGTGCGTAACTTCAACATCATTTTAAGGGTATACGCAAGTACAAAGAACTAGGATGCTGGGAGTACGCACGCTACGCTGCTGCGCGGCGGGAGTAGCAGCCAGAAGTCGTACTAGGCGGAACTGCCGTGCAGAGAGAAAAAATTCTGGAGCCCAAGGAACACAATATGGACTTACAGTCCTCTTTGTTCATATGTCTGAAAGTCCGTAAGTAGAGGAGCGTCTGTACATCGTTTATTCATTTTCAACGAATCAGTGTAGCAGCAGCTAATCTAGCAGCTAAATTAGCAAGCCCCATTAAATTAGTTTGCATAATTGTATGATGCAGCCCTTGTTAATTATTTCATCATCATTTGTATGATAGTCATACAAGAAACACCTGGAGTTCAGCGAAGTGAAGGTCAGGAAGACCACGCTGGCCAGGACTGCCACTTTGAATTGGAATGAAAGCTAAGACAATAAACATTTCAACTTAAAAGGCTGTCTGCCATTGAGTCTCATATTCCATGGAATCAGGAACAGTTGAATACATACTTGCCATACTTATTTCCAAATGGATTTAGCCATATTTTTGCAAATACTGAGATTTATTGCTTGTGCAAGCTATGTAAAAATCATATTTAATGTATAGGACATATTGTAGCACCTATACAGTAACTGTGTTACAGGTTCTGCTCATTCTGTATGTTAGAACTACTGCTAGATCTGGATTCTGGGTTCAGCTCATAAGCCAGACTGCAGTTTCCAACCCAAAGAGCGATAATGACGGTCTATGTGGCGTTAAAGTGGGGAGTCACATCCAGCCAGCCAGGTGATGGTAGTCATGCAGTTAGCCCAACATGGCTGCCCACTGAAACAGATGAGAATCCCCTCTACTCTCCATCTAATTTCTACACCGATTATCATTTTAAATATCGATAACTTGGGCACAGTGGATACATTATGCAGTGAGCTCTCGTTCTAAGGGGATTCAAACTGTGCGCATGCAGTACCAAATCGGTTAAAAAGAAAAAAAACTCCATTATTATACAGCTGATCAGTGAACCTTAAAGTTCTCTGAGGAAAAATGTATTATATAATCACTGTGGCAGTCTGGGATTATTTTATTTTAAGAGATCAGTCACTTTTGACTTACCTGTTTGCCATGCACTAAAACACTAGTTATAGATGGAGCGAGGCTGTCCACTAGTTTAGATAACAGACTGGCAGCTAGTCGCACAACAGACCTGGTAAACAGAAACACAAGAAAAAAAAAACGTACTTCTACAGATTAAATTTTGCTCAGAGTACAGATTCCAGTGCTTCATTTTATGTTTCATTTTTCATTTTAGCGCCTTTCATTTGGGATATCAATATTAATAATGCAGTTACATGAAAACATGACAGCCAAATGTACAATAACTAGCGACAGAAATTATTAAAAGTCATAAAAAGCCATTAAAATAATTTTTAAAATGTGTTCGTTTAACTGGATCCACGTTGTAATCTAAAGTTGTAAAATATTCATCATTTTTTCCCCTCCAAGTTCAACAAGCGTTTTTAAAAGTTACTGCTTTCATTTAGTGTCTGCGTCAGAGAATTTGGTAATAGGGGAAAGAAAGAAGAGAGGGAAAAAAAAAAAAAACAAAAAGCCATGCCGGAATTAATCTTAATCAACACGTAATAGCCAAGCGGACACCCCCATCATCCCATTGTCTGCCCAGACTGGGACGTCGCTTTATAGATCTCCCATAACCGCAGTTTTATTCGCGGACACCGTCTCTCCTTTTGTTCTGAAGCAGAATTTTAATGAATATTTAAACTCGGAGGGTAAGCGAAAGGAAGACAAGGAGGGCCACCGGATTGTGTCATTAGTATTCCGGAATCTTCACCCTGCCTCCCACAAAGACGCCGGCGTTCTGACGGCCCTGCCGCCGCGAATGTAAGACGTGGCCTCTTCGCCGAGTTCTGCTGAGGAAATTAACCCTAACGTTGAAGCGGGCGCTGCAGAAATATTTTAAAAAATGCTCGCTAATGTACAGTTCCATTTTTTGGATGACTGACTAATGGTTAATCAGTTTAACTGATGAAGTCCTGCGACAGTGGAATGAAAAGTGACAGACCGACAGACGGTATGTAGAGCTGGTGTGTGTCTACAACAGATTCTTTCATGCCAAGTTCTATGAAATAAGTTGGCCACTGTGTTTTTGAGACTCCCAGTGGACACCTAGCATTCCCGGGGCGGGGGGGCTGCTTATACAGGCTGCTCGCTGATCCATAATTTTGCCCAGCTATTTATTTTGCATGTTTTTTTTCCTTTATGCACTTTTTCCTCAAAGAAATTTAACACTGATCACACCTCAGGTACCTTATATTTGAATATTTACAGCTTAAGTGCTGATATTGAGGTTCCATCGCAAACTAGGCAACATTAAAAGCTATCTGATTTTTTTCTTTTCTTTTTTTTCATTTTTGTACCACAGTTGCAGGCATGAATATGCAGCATTATGGAGCCAAAGAGGATGAGGATCCCACAGATCCCGGCATTACAGGCCAAATTCAGCCTAAGTCTGTTTTTCCTTTTGAGCGATCAAAAAAAAATTTAAAAATGGCCGCCAGAACTGCATGGCTCAAAAAAGACAAAGGTACAGCTGAATGTGTGGTCAGAAAACAATGTGGAAAAACAAAGGGCACAAACACAGTCACGGTTAAAACGGATGGGGGGCATTCAGCGGATTGGGCAGCCTCAGTCCCAAGTCAGCATGCACAGATTACATCCAATACAGCCAATCAAACGCTCCTGTTACCTGCTTGCCGTGGACCACCAATGTAGTAATATGCGGTGCTATAGACCCCGCAAACCTCCTGGTTAGGGCAGCAGCGTAACGCACCACCGGCCTACACAGGGTTCGGGTTTATTTTAATACGCTTCCCTTTTCAGGAGGTATGCTTTCTTTTCAATCATTAGGATTTACAAACGAGAAAAAAAACAAGAGGGCAGATCTCTATACAAGCGTAGAGTTACTGAAACACAGACAAAGGTTATAACGGAAACACAGGAGAATCAAATAAAAGCCTAATCATACCTAAGCAGAGCAATTGTGGGTAAACGACATATTGACCATATGCAGCTCATCACTATGGAAACAAGAACCACGGATACCAAACGAGAAAAGCTCTGACCAAAGTTTGCGGCTGCCGGCTCTCCTGTAGATCCTCTCGAGCTCGTCCGTCAGGTTCTCTGCAAGCAGAGGGAACGTGGTGGTTTCAGGTGAGCGTCAGGTAGCAATAGAGGAACTAAATCTAGCTGAAGACCCAAGGCTCTGGGATCCCACCTGGCAACTGTTGGTGAGGTCATGTAGTCATTCCATGCCAAATACTAAGGACAGCGAGGTCACTTCATAAACCATTTGATTAGAGACAGTGGGTCATCCAGGCTTTAACAAGCTGCTTTTATCTGAATTGTGCCAGATGACTTACTGTGTGACACTCCCTGATTATACACAACCTACTGTATTTACCACAAACCTTGCTTTTACTTCTTGATTTTGTATCTCATGTGTATTTATTCTGTCAATGTTATGCTCGAATCATTAATTGTCTATCATCATGGTGTCTCCAACAGCAGCAAGCCGTGCCAACTAAGATTTCCACCGACCTTGGTCAAAAGGCAATAAACACTCTCATTCTGATTGTGGTCAAACGTTTACCAGCTGCAGCCCAAGGTGGACCCACACTCTTGTGTCCTTCAGAAAACCATTTATCAGCATAGCTTTGGGTGACATTTGATTTGGGCTGGTAGCCCCTATTGGTCTCAGATGCACACCATCCGCTCAGCTCAAGACCTAGTGCACAAAGCTAGACCTCTGAAGCTTCTCTGATGTGCCACCATTAGAATCATAAAGTGCCCAGAGACTTCAGGCTCACCACTGAAGCACTGCTAATTCCCAGAGTCGTGAAAAAGCCAGGCCTTATCAGTACTAATTCACTAAACCAAGGCTGCGAGTCAGCACTCTGGTTTGGAGGATCAATACCTCCCCACACACCCAAGGAAAGGAACAGATTAAACAACAATAAAACCAGATATTTTGATTTACAGTCAATATGGGCGTGCAGATGAGTTTCTCTGCCTTCAGAATGCACATCAACTATTAAGAAAAAACTGTTTACAAATTCATGATAAAAGCAGAATAGATTTAGCATAAACAGAATGAAGAAAAAAAAAACCTCAATGCAATGACAAGTGGAAGAGCAAACCTATGAAGTGACTTGAACTCATCCAGCGCTTTCAAGATCAGTGGCGTGTAAATTCCTGGAGGTTTTTCACAAACTTTTCCTCCCCCTGGAGAGGATCTACCACACCATGATGTATTCAGTTCCAGCACTACTTAGGAGGCAGACAAACAGCCCCAGAATCTGAATTTAGGTTCTTCTGTTCCTACCTTTAATATATCTGCTTTGTGAAGCTGAAAATTAGCTAGCAGGAGGCACCCAAAATAATTTAAAATCAACAGAAAGAATTGTTTATATTATAACCAACCAACCAAAATGATATAAAGCCATAGCAACGTTAAGCTACGATATGTTACACCCAAAAGCGGCTAATGGCTAGTCCCGTGCACCCTCCCCCCACACCACTGCACCCACTGTCTTTGGCGAAGAAGTCAGGGCCCTCTTTCTTCAGCAGGATGCTGGCAAGCTGTGCTTGACTAGCCAGGCAGTCACAGTCCTGGGGAAAAGAGAGATCATCAGGACAGCGAGGGGTTCAATCATCACAAGTCCCCCGTAGGGTGTCAGACCTTCCTGTTACGCTCATTGGCTTCCGCAGGCGGGAGGCCGTGAGACGCGGTGAAGTCACTTCCTAGCAGAACTGACATCATGAAGCAGACCATGGCTCTGTTGCTAGGGACTGCAAGGCATGCTGGGTTTTCACACAACCTCGCTGCTTTATGAGTCAATTAAAACTGTAAATAACCTGGCTTGGCGTTTCAAATGGAAATCAGGCTAAAAAAATCTAAACGTTTTCTAAGAGTATAGAGTTCTGGTGCTTAGGGACTGGGGCTGTTCGTCACCGGGGGGGGTCTGGCTTGCGGGTACGCCGCCGTCCGGCCTCAGTCTGAGCTCTCACATGGAACTTCTGCAGAACCTCGAAGGTGGGCTTTTTGGCCCACTCGTGGACACAGATCTCGGGCTGCTGCTCCAACTCAGACACGTTGGGCGTGCTCATCTGCCTCTTCACTTTGGAGTCCTTGGGCAGCTCCAGCTCTTCAAAGCTCTTGAACTCGGGAATTCTGGGAAATTAACACCAACAAATGGGCTGAATGGGGGTGCAAAATGCATACTATGGAAAAATGCCATTATAGTCAAATGTATCCGACACAAATTAAAGTTTGTTATAACATACAAGTCAATCAATCACACACCCATGATTAATTGCACTAATTGGCCAAACTTTTAATGAGTTACTGAGGAAAAGAAAACTGATTTTCTCACTTATCAGCCTCGTTTATGCGCAGGAAGTCAAGCTGTTCCACAACTGCTCCTGATATCAGCGTCTGAAAGACATCAAACTCAGGCTTTTACCCCTTCGGAATGAAAGGTTAGTGCATAATAATGTTTCGAAGAATCACACAGCTTATAATATGCAAAAGATGGGAAGGTTTTCAGCATTAGACAATCAGTTTATCTGACAGATGTGTGTGGGGAAGATACAGCGATGTCATTTTCTTTGCTGGTGTGCTGTAACGCTTCATTTAACCAGCGGATGATAATCTTAGGAGTGAAACATTACAAGCAGACATTTCATAAAACTGAACAAACACTGTTTGTTCAGCCTCCTGCTAAACAAACACTTATTTCTAGTGATGCGGCTCTTCTTTAAAGAATAAAACTGAAAAATATGATGCACAGACAATCTAACCACGAAGGACTCCTAGAGGACTAGCTAACTGTGAGGACAGTTCAAGAAAATTAAATGGGAAACAGTAGAGCAAACCAGAGAGGGATTCAATGTTGTGGGGGAATATTAGTAGAGCAAACCTGCAATCTGTCAACGTGCACTTTCACTCCACCAATGTTTCCCTTCTTGAAGGATGCAAGCATGTCCAGGACAGGGTTAAAACGGCTCCCCCTAGAGGACAATCATGTTATCACATTAACCTAATTACATAAGAACTTCTGATGTTAAAACACACTTCTAAGAATACTTTAAGTGTTTTGACTTTAATGTCCAAGACTTGTAAGCCCAGTTACCCTAATAAAAAATACATTTAAAAACTAAAAACTGGAAACACACTGCCCGGCAGGCTTTAGTAAAAGCTTTAACGCTAAAAACAACATAAAAAACTACTATTGAATACAATGGAAAATAAATCCTGCATTCCGCAGTTATCATGAGAACGGCATAACGAATTCAGGAAAAATGAATTATTTATTCAAAAGGAACTTTTTTGGATGCGGCAGATCCATCACATTTTAGTATTCTCCTGTGGTCCGTTCAATGCAGGGCCATCTCCCTTTCAAGGTCTTGACAGGAGCTTAAACTAAATGGTTTTGTACAGATTGGTCTTTAAATTATTTACTCGCTTACCATATATTTCATTATTTTGCTTAAATGTGGTATTTGTGCGGCAGGCGAGTGCAGTCTTACTTGATGTTGTCTTCCCTGATAAGCACCAGGAACAGGGGTCTGCCTGGCATCTTCCAGCAGTGCTTGATAAACTGCAGGGCGTTCTGCGGACACAGTGAGGGCACGCGACACGTGGTGACCTTCAACGTGTCAAGCAGGGGTGGAGCCAGGCGTTATGGAGCTTGTGCTATTCCCGGGAAGGGAAGTGTGTCAATCTGACCGAAAAGGATTTTACCAGGCTTGCCGCGGTAAGAACAAAGCAGCATATGGTGACTGAACCTTAAGTTTTGTGAAGTAAACTGGAACATCAGACAGACACAAGATTAGCGCTTTAGTAATGACGACGTACAAAAATGAACCCTGGACGTTAGGACAAGTGGGGTCTTACGTCCACAGTCCCCAATCAAAACTGCAGGAACGTTAAATTGAGCGCGATTTATTCATGCGTCTCCGTCTGTCGTTTAAGATACAGCCTCATTCAGGTCATTGAGCACCAGACAGAATCAGCACAAATCTCCCATCCGTTTGTTTTTTATTGCCCAGAATCAGGTCTGGAGTGTGTTTCTGGATGTCCTCCTCCTCACCTTGATGTCATCAATGAGCAGCATGACATCCTGGGACAGGTAGAAGTCGCTGAGGTCGAAGACGATGGGGTAGCACACCACGGTCTTCCCCAGGATCCGGTAGATCTTTAGGAAGGACAGAGTGAGCATCACAGCACCCCATACGACCAAATCAACTAAAAGAACAGGTAAAGGGGCAATTGTCCAGATGTACACCCTCAAAGCTGCTGGCCTTGCTGAACTGCCCTGTCTGACTGCTGCTGTCTAAGTTTTTAATGATACATATGATAAACGCCACTAAACTGAATAAATGAGTTTTTATTATTCAAGTATATAATAAATATAATATAATATATGTTGTTTTTATTTAATTTAATACATAGCATCGGTGGAGAAAGCACAGTTTGTCGTACATGTACAATGACAAAGATTCTATTCTATTCTTTTCTATTCTATTCTATTCTATTCTATTCTATTCTATTCTATTCTATTCACATGCAATGAGCCTCAAACGAATGCTGTGCCCTACGTCAGTTTCGGTGGTTGTGTGAATTTCTAAATAAAGAGAACTCCATAATAAAACACCAGCCTGTGGATTCATGGTCCTCTCATTCGGACTCATTCTCAGTGTGAAAGATGACCGGCTCAGGTGACAAGTGGTATGGTGAGCGCCCCCCACAGGTGAGGCCTTGCCTTGCAGGTCCCGATGCACCCCACGGGCCGTTCGGGCCGGCCGCTCAGGCCCAGCTTCTCATTGACGGCCAGGAATCGGTAGGCCTGGTGGGGGGGGGAGACAGAGAGAACTCAGCTGGCTCACCACCCACGGTGCCATGGATAGACTGCCTGCTCTGGATGGGACGGGGAACTAAGAGCTCTGGTCTCTATGGCAACTCAAAAAAAAAATTCCCTACTGAAGAAAGCCCGTGTCTAGTCTGTGGCGCAGCTCTATGCCGCTCCCTTTGGATGGATTATTTTATTATTATTTTAGAAAGCAGGATCAGCCAGTTCCTGGAGCAACTAGGGGGTTAGTCGTCTTTCTCAAGGGCCCAGCGACCCCGGGATTCAAACCAGCAACCTTCTGATCGCCAGCACAGCATCCTAACCCACTGCGCCACACCGCCCCCACACACCAGCTGCTTGTGTTCTGAGAGCTGTGGTTGGACACGTCGCACGTCCATCGATGGCCCAGACCCGTCCCTGACCCTTGGTGGGCCTCTGTACCACTGGCACCAGCGGGACGGTTATCAGTGACGTGGCACTCCCCGCGCCGCGGCATGCCAGGCAGAGCCACTATCAGTTACGGCATCGCTCTGCCCCCTGCCAAGTACAGTCTCTTGCCAGCGAACGGACTGCGACCCGCCTTTGCTGGCCAGTTGGGCTTGAACAATGAAGAGGAGAAACGTCAATACGGTTTATTCAGGAGGCAGACTCTCCCCGCTGACCTTACGGCACTGTAGCCAAGCCCAGAATCAGAGGGAACGTGGTCACAGGCTGGCCTGGCGCCTACCCAAGAAATGACTATGTGCAATCTGCTCTAAGCCACTGATGGTACTGAGGGCCACATTAAAATCTGTCGACTGACAACCTGCATGCAGTAAGATAGGCGATTCGGTCCATCGCTCTTCTCCTAAAATACTAGCACTCTGGCCAAACTTCCAGCGCTTGAAATCTGACAAACCAAGCATCTCCGAGGGAGAACTGATTTTCTATGTGCACTGCACCTTTAAAGATTTCTCGCCGAAGAAATGCATTCAGTACACCTATTACGTCACTAGATGGCACTCTTACACCCCTTCCTATTTTAAGCAAACGATTCAGAGGCTCGGAAGATAACAAAAGCTTAATCTGAGGTCAAGCGACGAAGAATCTGCTAACTTTGAAAAGAAAGAAAACAACATTAATACAGAATTAATTTCACAGCGGCTTACATTCCTCGCCAGGGTTAAATACTCCAAAAGGAGTTGCTTGGGTAGCCTACTTTTAAATCAGTGACTAAACAGGAATAAGCAGGGATGAAATCTAAATTTAATTTCTATGTATTTCTTCAAAAACTCAACACAAAGATAAATAGGAAGGAATGGGCAAGCTTTACTATCTCTGTTTTTTTTCTGAGGCTTAAGGCTTGCCGCTCACTATGTGAATGCACTACATTTCCTTGCTGTACGTCACCCTGGATAAGAGAGTTGGTGAGATGAATAAACATAAATATAGCCGCACAGTGGATGCAGGATGTGCGGCAGAGACAGAGCCACAGTCCCAGTGCCCTGTGCGTGTGGGCATGCGTGCGGGCTCTCTACTGACGTGGACCCGCTCACCCGGCGTGTCAAACGCTGGCATCGTCTGCCATTTTAAAATCATTTACCGCTGAAATGGATTGTGAAAATAACAACTGCTCTGACAAGATATATTTAAAGCTCCGCGCAAATGCTCGTGGCACAGTCAGACACAAAAGAGGCTGCCATTTTGGTCACCCCGTCACCTAAAGCTGAGGAGGACAGCAAACTCCTAGAAGATGTCTACTCTATCCAAGCAAGACACCAATAAATATAAATAACTGAGGAAAAATAAGTGCCTATAAACTCGCAATGGTTAATCCAGATTAAAGCGATTTAGAATGCTCAGTTAAGGCTTCAGATGGAAAATAAAAACCCATACTGTCATCTCCAGACAGGAGTCTCAGAGATGTGACCTACTGGTTCAAAATCTACCTAATCCCCACTTCCGGTTTAAATTCAAATCCTAAATGAATGACCTTAACCTCAATCAACCTGTTCCCTCAGATGAATTAGTGGACGAGACTCCTATTAAAACATACCACTTATTTACACCCAGAAAACATGCTTGCCCTTAGCCAGCACAGGTACAAGCCACACTTGAGCCCTACAGCGTGTTCCTCACTGATCTAGATCAGCACGGGAGCATGGAGGAGACGGCAGACGAAGCAATGTGCCTGACCTGTGTAGGAACCTCTGGAAGAAAAATGGCTGACAGAGCCAACGCGACTCAGGAAATGAAGCCCGCGCTCGCCAGACGTCGGGCCAGCCAGCGGATGCTCTCCCAGGTCCCTCACCTTCACCAGCTCCTTCTGCGGCCAGATCTGGATGGGCTCCACCTGCTGGGGGGTTTGGGTCTGGATGCCGTACGTGTTGAGGAACACCTGCAGTCTGAGACACACGGAGGCCCCCGGTCAGAGCCCTCTGCTGGCCATTCGTGGAGTTAGCACACTGGCACACTGGCACACTGGCACTGGCTGATACCTTTTCTGATTAGACTCAATACACCCTGTGAGCTGGCGATCAAACAGCACCGGGTGCCCAAAATGACGCACACGCGCTACGTCATTAGAGGTCATCTGACCCCCCCCATCCACACCCTCGCCGGCTACACTTACCTCTGGCTTTCGGCGATCACGGCTACGTGGATGACCACGTCGTTTTCTATGGGACCCTGGGAAGATAGCAAACAAGAGAACACGATGAGAGCCTCTCTCGGGGTTCCTTACGCTTTTTCAAGCTTCAAGCTACCTTGGGAATTCACGGCCCCAGCCTCCCCCCCACCCCCACCCCGCCGGCAACTGACATTATTCAGGTGGGTCTTTCTGATAAGTGCACTGCGTGGGATTAGAAGTGCAATATCAGGACGGACTACAGGGAAGGCAGTGCGTGGCGATCCATGCGTTAATGCGCGAGAGCTGCACCACACACCACCCGGTCGCATTAATCACCACGGGTCAGACGATACCAGGTTCCCCGGAAGCTTCTGGATTTACAGGAACGACCCTGCATACCAGGTTCCCCACCTATGGTGGGAAAAAGTGGGTCAGAATGCGGCGGCTTCGCCATGCGGCGAGATGGACCAGCCGCGCAGCACTTCCGTTCCCCATGAAAACTATTGCGTGTCGCATCCAAGGGGATTGGCTGCAACGATGAGAGAAGCCTCTCGATTCTCCATTGCAGACCTTTCCATGACAAAATGACGGCCCTGAATCTGGGCCTGTTAATACAGAACTGTGGGATAGCATACAACACGAGGGAGAGAGTGATATTCTTATGACAGAATCAGTGACTGGTACTCATTTTCAGTGGCGAGCATTTTTTAGTGACAATAAATGCAAGCAGATGTCTGACGCTTTCACACCATGGCAGGGAAAGCCAAGCCACTATAAAAACACCCTTAAGAAAGATTAAAGCATACAAACTGCATTTGGTTAAATGACATGCAGGAAGGCGAGACACATTCACTGCATTATTAAAGCAGCAGAGAGCAGATATTTCATAGCTAGATTTTCATAGACAGCAAGATGTGTGATGTTCAGGATGTTCAGCTCTGAATGCCTCAAACATGCGATGTTCTGGTCATAAGTTCAGGTCTTGCCTCCCCACCACACAGCCTGTTTTACAGGATGTGTGGGCTCTCCTGAAGACCAGGGGGACCTCGGACTGTCTCAGACACGGAGGAAAGACACCAAAAAAACACCCTGAAGAGTACGCGTTCATCTGTCCCCGGGCCAACAGAGAGCCAGGCACCTGGCAGCTGCCTCGTAGGCCAGAGCAGATGGAGATGAGTCTGGCAGAGGCTGCCGATTGGCCCAGCTCTCCAGGCAGGATCCATGGCAACGACTCTCCCAGGAGGGGGCGTCCGCACCGGCCAACAGCCTCGGAGGGGGGGGCTAATGTACAAGTGATGGGGAACTCCAAATACAGGTACCGGGGTCTATAAGCGCAGAGCAGGTGTGTAAACAGGTTAGGGGGGGAAACTACAAATACAGGTACTGGGTCAGGGCATCTGAGGCAGCTCTTTATCCCCATGCCAGAAAAGAAGAGAGAAGCTGGGTTTGACAGCGCAGTGCACTCTGCGGCTCCGTCACTTTCAAAACAATGGTGGCGGTAAATGGCACATATCCCGAGCAGTTATAAAACCAAACACAAAACGCTGCCCCCCCCCCCGCCCCGGGGCAAGATCCGCTGTAGAGGGGAATAATAAATCGCACCCGAAAATACTCCCGGTGCAAGCGGTACTCCTACTCACACAAGCAATTTGCATCAAGGACGGCTCACATTCGTCCAAATTAAATGGCTGTGAAGGATAACAAAACAGCGCCCACTCGCAGACGGGCACAGGAGGCGCGCTCAGCCAATCCGCGCCACTGCCGTTTCATTCCTATAAATCAAACACAATGAAACATTCCCGCCGACACGGTGAATGATGTGAGGAAAAGAATGCTAAGTTACTCTATGCGCAGCATGCCGTCTCACAGGGGGGGGGGTCGCGTCCCGGCCGGCGAGTCTCAACGTAAATACAGGATCACTCACTGGACGTGTGTGGCCCTTTTGGGCAATCAAATATGATGATCATGAACATCAATTATCATTGATATATTAATAATTATTGTTATTGATGTACTTTTCAGCTGAAATATGGAGAGCTTTTGAACCTCACTGCCTACTTCAAGTACACACGACTACAACGTAAAAGAGAAAAATCACTAAGCTGTGTATGTGCGTGTGTCACAATGAATGTTAGCTACACTACGCATCAGCCACTCATCAACATAGCAAACATACAGCAAACAAACTAATCACTACTGTGATTATGCTAATTCTGCATAAATAAATCCAATAACCCACGATAAAAACAGACAACAGACAGACTAATTCAGTCTCTCCATTCCCCAAGCTGTAAAAGGGCGGCCTATTTATCTCTGAGTGTGGCCTCTGATGATATCTCCTGCATCTCCTGCCACTTCAGAGGTGGGCATCTTCTCGACTTCATGCCCGGGCAACACACGGGGGGAAGAATAAATCATGATACAGTAATTTGCCCAAGTTATGCTCTGGACCTCTGAAAGTCCTGCTGGAGAAGTCATTCCCATAAAGGATGGAAAGATAGATGGGCCTTCTGACAGAGATTCCGTTGTGTTATATATTATACTTGCTCGGTGCTACAGTATCACACTGAAATCCAATGTCGGGTCTGGTCACATATTTCATAAGAGAGAAATCCAATTATAGTCAGACGAGTCATATAAAATGCAGGGCTTGTCAGGCCTGCTCTACTTTATACCCTCTCTGAGATTTGGCAGGGTAGACGGGGGAGGTAAACGAAAGCAATGAGCGTATCCCCTTCCACTGGGGGGCACCCCACTAACAGAATGACACAGGGCCCCCTGGTGGCTAGCAAAGCAGCCATTCTGAGACAGTAGCCTCTTAACTATTAACTGAATGATACATCTCATACATATGGAAAAAAAAATAATAATAATGATTATAATAATAGGTGGATGAAATCGATGGCAGAAAACAGAACATTAGGCTGGGTCTCAGCTGAAAGAGCACTTAATCCCCTTCAATCTGCTGCCAGCAGGCTGATCGCCTCACCCCCGTCTGATCGCCTCACCCCCGTCTGTATGGCGCTTTGAAGGCCACGACTATCACTCGCATGTGAGGCAGCTTAAGGATGCCCCCTGCCCTTAATGAGCGGACCGTCAGGGGGACGCCAGTTACACTATCGCTATCACTATCGCACGGCAACGCTGAAAACACCTAGGTAACAGGCAGCACGGCGCCGGACTCCCAACAAGCTAGAAGAAGAGAAACCAAATGCTCCAAAACTGTGTCTGAACAAAAGAAGATAAAGAAATGAACAAAAACATTCAGGCGATTTGAATGTGACAACTACATATTGCAGCAGCAACGTTCACAGACAAAAACTTCTGCCAGATCCATCCATCCTTCTGTCACACTCACAGGGGATCTATACTCTGGGCGGCATATTCTAGGAAGCACAGGGCACAATTCTGGGGGCACCCAGTTTATACTACATTTAGGCACATTCTTTAAATAAAGCGATCATCACCATCACCATCATCATCATCATCATCACCATCATGTTGGGACAGAGGCATCATGAGTATGTGACATATCATGAATTGTTTAAGGTTTATTATTATTATTATTATTATTATTATAGAGAAAAACAACTGATTCTCTAAAATACCACCAAGTAATTTTCTCCCCGATTAAAAAATACCAGGCATCCCAGCAAGACTGCTTACAGCCATCATTACGTGTTTGCTGTGCTCATACCGTGGCTCTTTAAAACCAGGCCCAGCGGGGGTCGGGGGAGGAGGATGCTTTGGGAGGGGGGTGGGGGGCCACAACCATCTGGATCTCCCTTGGTTAAAAATTTAAATTCAGAATCAGCACGAATGAAGCCTGTCTTCCTCCTGGGGTCAGCTCTGTTAGTCAGCTGCAGTCTAACATTTGTTAAATCTGCCTGGATTGGGCACTGCAGATGTCAATTGGGAGCTAAACCAATGAAAAAGCATCCTGTGAATTAGTACAAGAACTTAAGCACTCCTTAGTAAGCCAGTTGACCTTTGAACTTCAGAGGTCCCACCTCTCCTATATGTACCAAATGATTTTTGTTTCCTCAGATTTCTGTACCAGCAAGTGGCATTTGATGTTACCTAACTTCCAGCAAAGCTGTTCTTGATACAGCTTAGTAAAGGACTTTAGAGTAAATAGTCTGGGAAAGGCATTATACATACAAGTAACATTATTTGAATTATGGGTACAGTCCTGTACCACTAATTAGAGTGGTGGACATTTTTGGCCAACCAACAAAAGTAATATTTTATAAAACCACACAGCTGCTGCCACAAGGGGGGGGAGGGGGAGCGCAATGAATATGCCGATCCACATTCAGTACACTGCTGGCCATTCGGAAAGCAGGGAAAAGGACGCGAAGCTATATTCAGCATCTGACATAAAGACCATTTTGTTTTGCTATGAGGATAAAGACAGAGCGGGACTCCACGGAGCGGAGATGTACAGTAGCACACTGCAGCTGATGGATGGATTACGCTGCGATTCTGGGCACGTCTGCCAGACCAACTGGGGCGTTCACATTACTCTGTTATATCAATCTTGACTGCCACACTTGTGATAATGACTTCTTTTAGTAATCTTTTTGTTTGGGCATTAGGCGCCGAGCTGCTACTCGCTCTAGACGGCCTTCATCCGCCACGGAGGAGGACGCTCACTGACAGGACAGATACACATTTGACGAGAGAATCGCCTTCCTGATAAAATGTATAAAAAGTCCCATAGGCGAGGAATTTGAAGTGTAATACAAAGTGTGCGGCGTCTCTCCTGAGCCAGCTGCGCGGCTTCTGGCAAGCCATCGGCTAAGGGATCCGCCAACCCGCCCAAGGGATCCACTGCCTCACCCTAAGGGATCCAACGACTCACTCTTAGGGATCCACTGGAGGGAGGTTGATCTTGAATGCTGAGCAGCAGCAGAGCCATCAGAAGTAAAGATGGAGTACACTGTGCGGCAACCACACTAAGGCACGTAAAAAATGATGCCTAAAACTCCACAAAAACCTCAAAACATCAAATGCTTAACATTGCTCAAAGACAAATAAAAGGGCAGTAATTCAAAGGGCATCAGGCTGCATCAGGGCAGAAATGCAGAGATCCAGACATGAGACACTGTGCAGGGTAAAGGGGGGGGGGGTGTTACTCCACTTACGCACTAGGGGGCGATATTAGATATTCAAGGTCAAGTGTAAAGGACCTGCTTCCCTCATCCGCACTGCATGAAAACCTTCCCGTGTCCTTCCTCAGGTGCACACATTGTTACAATATTAGTAGTTTTTTCCGCTCCAGGAGATAAGAATGTAAGGAGACAGCTTCTCCGGCAGAGCTGCTATGGGGGAGCATATACATGTAAATATATGCATATGTTTCTTTTAGTGCTGCTGCTGGGGGGGTTGCTGGTTTAAGACCCAGAAGGGGGAATCACTGCACTATCATTGCTGAATTCTCCAGTAAAATATACAGTGATACAGTAATAAATGCAAGGCTGTACTGGAAAAAAATCCAAGAGCAAATAAATGAATTAAATAGGGGGAAAAAACGACTTATCTGATGGGATTTTATCGAAATCACGGTGACTATTTAAAGAGGAAAGAAGTAAACAATGAACTTTTTTCCCCAGCTTGAAGTGTCCCTTGGAGGACGGGAAGAGACAAAGACAATCTTCTTAGTGAAGAAGGCACTCGGGAGAGAGGGGGAGAAATCATTCAGTGTCGAGCGAAAAACTCAGGCCATTCAGGCGGAATAAGGAGGAATAAGAAGTCAGACTTCTATACAGCACAGCCAAAGTGCCAAAGCATTTGTGGACAAATCCCGCTGGCTGCATTCCATTAAGATCGGCACCAGTGGGAAACTTTCAAAGGTGACTCAAAGGTGCCCCCTATATTGAATTCACAAAATACTTTGAGTTTATCAACTATGTTTAAATACGCAATATCCATGATGATGGCACCTCGCTGTTTATAAGAAATTCTCAAGTGCTTACCGCCCACACAGGGACTTCATCAAGTTTCTGTCAAAACTCTAGAACTGTTGGTGAGCGAGCCTCTTTGATGGCCTGGTCACATGACGGCGGAAAGCTGACCTGATTGGAATATCTCATGCTGACATTCCTCTGCTCTTGGGGCGGCACGTAACGGTGGATGGGATCGATGTCCTTGGGACTAATTAAGCCATCGACTGGTGGAAGGGACAAAGAGGAAAATGAGATTTATTGCTTTAAATTGTTTCGATCTTCCTGAAAATGGGAATGCAATATTTCTTAACTCTCTCATGCGTTGATAGTGGCAATGGGTAAAGATAACTGATGAATGAAAAAATTATGCTTTATTTGTCATTTGTACCAGTGCGAGTACAGCCACATGGGAAGCAGTCTGTCCCATCACGCTATTCTTTCACACATAAACAAAGTGCAGCGGAGACTGATGTTTGGGGGTCGGAGTGCCCCATTTATCTGGCATTTTTCAGGGAATTAAGGGCCTCATTCGAGGTCCCAGTGGCAATATATATATTGTGCCAAGCACAGGATTCGAACCGGCGACCTTCTGATCACAGGAAGAGAGGCCTGGTTACAGATTCCCCCACAGACCTGACAGAAGTGCCCTGTGATGTGAATTGTCCCATGACTGTAGAGATTTCAAAACTCACCCAGCAGCATGGCGATGTTGTAGAGGGCCTGTCCCCAGAGGAAGAGCTGCCCGTCGCGGCCCGAATTGCTGGGGAATCGCTTCTGGCTCCCGTGCTTCTTTTGTTCCGCCTCCACAAAATCCGCCGGGACATAGTAGTACTTGGGAATGACGGTGTGCCCTGCTGAGGCGTCAAATCAAAGAGGAGAATCATCCCTCGTACCCTCCAATAAATCTACTTAATTCGCATTTTTTAAATGTGAAGAACTTTTAGCTTTGCAAGCTTGTGGAAAACTGCAATGCAAATGAGTAATGTGATATAAAAATAAAGGGGGGGGGGGGTCTCACACAAATGTTATTAAACCCGCATGGGAATAAGAGGGGGCCCTGAGCTACACAGCAGGCCACAATTACTGCTGTTTTAAAGAAACAGTAAATTAAATGCGGATGTCACGGCTTGCAGAGAACAACGCAGCAGATAATGCGATTCCGCCGCAGACCTGCATGCAGTCACTCCCTCACTGGCACCCTTAAATAACAGCGACATGCCTCTGTGGAAGAGCACACAGCTCTCACGGATCGCTGCCCTGGAAAAAGTCCTTGGGAAGCCGTATTTACAATCGGGGGCGCATCCCAGCGGAATTCACCTAAGGATTTCGACAGCGCCGCTACGCAGCTTTTTTTTTTTTTTTTTTTTTTTAAAAAAACAACTTCAGGGGTCAGGGTGGGGGTCACTAGTTCCAGCTCCAAAGGAAACACAGTCACTGCACACTTTGGAAAAGCAGTTAACCTGAAAATATCGACAACTCCTGTTGGACTGGTAACCAAAAGAACTCCTGGTGGACAAGGCGGAAAGGGCCCCGCCCCACAGAGGCCCGTGTGACAAAAGCAGGCTAGAGCTAGTGGTGCACTGGAAATTTTGACCAATACCAACAACAGATACATTTTTGTCTAATATCACCAACATCAGTAAGCAGCCAACCTCTGAGCAGTGATTTGTGGAATGACAAGATCTCGATCTGCGGGCTGGACTTAATAATAAATTGTGAACATGTCACGGTCGTATAAAACCGTCTCACTGGCCTGTACTTTGAGACGTCTAAGTAGAGTCTCTACATATTTTAGGTTATCATCTACTGTTGTAAAATAGTGTCCCACTTTGAACCAATATGGTACGCATTTTGTCCCGTATTTTTGGACCATGCAATCAATCCATCCCAACCTGGCAAATTTTACCATCGGGACCCAAACTTTATCACAAGGGTGCGTGCCTTAATGTTTCAGACTGAAACTGGCAACCCTCCTTCTAAGGTGTAAATCAGCCAATGAAATCCCTCATTTTCCTACAATGGAAAACAGCTTATTGTCCAATGCAATCATCTCCACTGTTTTTGTAGCTGTGCCATTAGCTTTGGCACTGCAAACTTTTAATACTGATACATTTTAAATGTCGGCCAAGATTGACTCTTCAAACCGATACAGATATTTTAACTTAAATTTTAACGAATGTCTTAAGTGATATATTGTGGCAAGTTTAGCTTGAGGAACATCTCACACCATCTGTTTCAAGCCACTCGATGCCGATGAGATGAGGCTATCCAGAGAGTGCCGTACCTTCATAAGTCTGGAAAACAACCGCCTCCAGCAATTCCCGATACTCCTTCACTTGGCCAGAATTCCCCCGGAATACACCTGGAAGACGACCATAATGGATCTCTAAGCAGGACAGATCGACCCATATCCAGTTTCCATGCTCTGTAATGGTTTGCTTAAATAAGCTTGATTTTAATGAGCAAGCCGACGATTAGTGCACCTTAAGCAAAAGGCACAGCACACGCAGATCTCGACTCACCATCGATCATCATGTAGATGTAAAATATTGGAAATTCACATTCGATGCCATCAAAGAGCTGCAAAGAGGGAAACAGACAAAAAGTCACACGTTTTAATCACTCAATAATCCATCCATCCATCTTGTTACTGCTTATCTTGGTCAGGGTGGCCTGGAACCTATCCTGGGCAGCACAGGGTATGAGGCACGCACACGCACGCAGACGCACACACACGCACGCACACACACACAAACACCGAACTGTGGCTTTTTCATGAATTTTTCTTCTTGGAAAAATTAGCTTCAACTTATCAACAAGCCCCCCAACCCCCACCCACAAAGTCCCTGCCTCTGTCACTCCCCCACTCATTCTGCATGCATCTTTGTATATCTCCTGCACATCATATATTTTCATACCTTCATATTCTCCTCAATCTCCTTGTAATTATATTGCACAGCTTGCACCATTATATTCCTTTATTCTATAATTTCCACTTTTCTATTTTTCTTCATTTATGTACTTGCTGTCCTGTGTTATTTGTGAATGTAAGCACCAATACTGCCAAAACAAATTCCCAGTGCATGCAGCTGTATCTGGCCAATGAAGTGAATCCTGATTCTGACTGAACTGTGGGAGGAAGCAGGAGCACATGAAGGATGCACAGGCGACACGAGCAGAACACACAAACACCACGTCCTCCAACAAGGTGCGATTCGAACCCCCACTCCTGGAGGAGAGAGCCAGGGGTGATACCCATTGTCCAGTTATTATGCTAAATAATTTCATAGATATTCTTTTTAACTGAACGGCATTAATTGCACATTCCATACACAGCTGTATAATTAGATAATACGAACGTAGAAATCAATGGAAGTATGAAAAGCAGACCGTTTCCCGCGTGTGGAAACGATGTGAGGGGACACGCTAATGTGCATCATGTACCTATGAAAACCTGATACGCCACTATGGAGAAAATTAAAAGGCTAAGCTCTGCCTTGCCTCAGGGGTGCATGAAATGAACTGCGGAGATATAATACTGCCGGATAGACCATTTAAAGAAAACAAAGCCCCGAAAAAAAAACAAATGGCGGCTTTCACCATGTGGCGGTTCACGTACAAAAAGGGCAGGAGAAAGCGGACCGCTGCTTGTTGTTAAGGGTGTGAATAACCTGCTTCACGCTTGTCCTCAAGTGAAAGCATCGCCTCTGCACGCTAAATCGCCGTGGTGATCTGTTCAATTACAAATTTCGGTAAAATGCAGAATTAAGCAGGAAATCGATCCGTGGCCGCACTCACTTTAATGGGTTTGACCAAAATCCCCGCAGCATTAATTTAGTTGGATATTTTATTGGTGAAACGCAGAAGGAAAAGCTCCCCGGTGGACACCATTCGCCCCGGCGTCCTAGAAACATTTAATTAGGCGCTTCCGGTCATTTCCCCAAATCAGGGGCAGCCATCGCCACGGTAATAAACAATAAGCGAGATATTAGGAGGCAATAAAGTGCCACGTGGCATCCGTAAGGGCCACTCTCCCAATGCTCCTACACAATAACAGGGACTACGGCTCCGCCGACCCGTTTTCTGGTGAAGGAAGGGTCGAGTGCTGGGGACTGAATGGGGGCCGGGGGCCCCCCGGGTAGCGCTGGGGATGAAAAACACCCCGCAAGCTGTCCTACTTATAATCATCTGCCAGCAAAACAATGGCGACAACATCCTTCCCAAGCTAGCGGTCGTCCTTGGTTTAGTCCCGTTAAACATTAAACTAATACATAAATATTTCATATATATGAAGGAAAAAAAAAAAAACACTTCCCACATATTGCCTTGTCACTTTTATGGGAGTAAGACGGCTATTCAGCCACGCAGGCGGGTATTGTTACATCCTCTTCTTTTCTTTTTTGATTTCTATGCTGTCGGAGCCCTCCATAGCTGGAGATGGACTTCAGACATTCATATTAAACACCACTACTGAAATTCAGCCCTGCTCAAGGTTACAGATTCCGAGAACTAAACCCACCTAATCACAGGTGACAGTATTCAGTCTAATCGGCCAGAGTTTGAAGAAATTATTTTCAAATTCTCAGACAAGTAATAACACCCCCATCGCAATACAATAACAATAACAGCTCACGTCACTGGTAATAAGCATAACAGAACAGATGCCTGACACAATATCCACAGAAAGGGTGTGAAAAGATTATTACTACAAGTATTTTGCAACCTATCCATTTATTAAGGTTTTACTGAGACATCACAGAAGTTGAACAGGCATTATGCAAGTTAGGGAACAGAAGGTTAAAGACAGTCTGTCCGCCCTGCTGTTATTATAAATATGGAAAAGATGTTCCCAGCCACCTAACCAGTTTATATAATCAGCCGGAGTTTAGTTTCCATTCTCAGACTGATCCAGGGATTATCATCTTTTGCTAACTGCTAACAAACAACCCCTTTCTGAACAAATATTAGTATGTGCTTTAGAAAATTTGCATACGCAGCAGACAGATGGAACTGTTTCACCTGCATGTGCGTGTAATGTCCAATAAAGGAAGCACAGTATGTCTGAGAAATGGTGCGGATGACTTCATCGCTTCACAGGGAACGCTGCGTGTGTGATGTCATTCAGTAACGGAGGTTCCATCCCCGCTATACCAAGGACAGCATCAGTTTCCGAGAGCCTGGAATAGATGAAAGCAGCAGGGCAGAGGGCATGCTCCCCTGAAAGGGAGCTCCGGACAGTACCTTCATCTCCGCGGGTTTGTAGTACCGCCGGTTCTTGTCTTCGTTGGCGGTGCGGTAGCCGTCACGCAGGAATCGCTTGAACCCATACCTCCCCTTGAGCTTGCGCACTATCTTGTCCAGAGTCTGACTGTAGAGGGCGTCGTCGTCCACGGCGAAGGCCGGGTAGCTGATGCAGGGCAGCAGGGCCGCGTCCGTGTTCTCGTGGGGGCGAGAGGGTTAACGGGAGCTGTTAGCACCTGGCGCTACGCCTCCATGGAGCAAGCCGTCAGTGGACAGGTGAAAATGTCGGACCTGCATGTTTACGGCCACCATCAAAGATGCATAAACTTTAAAAATTCAAAGGCTTCAATTACATGAAAGCCTTAATCCACAAGCCTAGCTCTAAGTACATCAGAAGGATTACTTTGCCATAATGTAGTCATTTAACCCTTTCTAATTAAACAGATCTACTTCATCCTGACAGCTGAAGGCATTTCCTGGAGAAACATGAGAAGAAATGCAGGCTGCTGTCCTACAGTCATTCCACGACTGCAGAAGCCGGAACATGCGAGACACTTGTGTGTGCGCGCACACACACACACACACACACACACACACACACACACGCACACGGCGCTAATGTCTGTCGCGTAGACACACACAGCCGCACGCACGAGGAACATCTGCCCTACATGTGATCTGGACTCTCTCGGCAGCAGGGAGCTGAGTGTCTGCCGGTTCCGGTTGTGGGCATCCAGGTCCACAAAGATCACCGACCAGGAGCATCCCTGAAGGACCAATCACAACACAGAAAGCACAGAATCAAACATCTCATTAAGAGTAATCCCCATCATTCTAAATAATACACCATTACAGACACCTGAAGGCAAATAATCACACAGACTAGAAATTAGGGCATCGCAGAGCATAAAATCTAGCCATTCAGGAAAAAAATTGATTATTATTAGGCAGTGGACTTGAAATGGTCTTCAGCTAAGACTGAATGTTTAAATCATGTGGTACCGGTCGATGCACTTTTCTAGTTTGGGCACCCCAAGCCCTCCGATCTAAACACTTTCATCGCGATCATCGTGTCAATAATCCAACACTGTCAAAAACCAGCAAAGCCATGACAGAGACCAGCGCCGGGCTGACTTTATACAATCAGTACACATCGAATGGATAATTACCCCGTGACAGAGCCACTTGGTTCCACGGCTATCTATGAAATCGAAAAACCATTTCGTATTTATGTTGCCATGGTTACGGCTTTACAGAAAGGATTTTATAGAAACAGGAGACCCCCCGTGACCCTATAGCGCATACGCTTTGTATATGGCGCTGCATGGAGCCAGCTCGTATTTGCAGTAACGATTGAATATCGGGACTCCGCTTATGAGCGATATTATTAGGGGGCGTCTAATCGAACCCAACTCCTGGGTATCATATAGACTGGATGCCTGCAGAAGCTTCCCAAAGGCATGGTCGTTGCTGTGACGAGCAAGCAGACCATAGCACACATGCGATTTGTTATCTAAGGTTTGCGCCATTCCAATTGCGCCACAGAATGTTCAAAGGCCAGGTGTTTCCATTGATGACTGCGCCTTAATTGCAATTCGAGCAGCAACAATGAGTCTAACGGGGAAGCGATGCTTAAAAATCACTAAGACTGCAGAAGGAGAGCCTCTATCCGGACCACTTGGCAGGCAGTGGCCTATAGAAAGGGGCTCAGCTGTGAGTGACTCCTGTCACAGCCAATGAGCACTCGAGCCATATCGCTGAGGATTCCTGGAAACAGCAGCTCAAAAGGTTCTTGACAGAGCATGCGGAAATGCATTAAAAGTCCCTCAGAGGAGCCTACAAGTGTGGACATGTAGAAGAAAAACAACAGCAGTGGCTGCTTTCGTGGGGATGTTTAAGCACCGGCGAGCGGACATGAGCGGGGGGGGGGGGGGGGGGGGGGGGGGGGGGGGGGGGGGGGGGGGGGGGGGGGGGGGGGGGGGGGGGGGGCGGGGGCGCGTGCATGTGCCCGCATGCTGCTGCGCCTGGCTGCCCCTCGCCTGGCACCAGGCCGGCGCATGGCAGCTGTCACTGCCGCTTTCTCAACGCTCTCTAAACACCCCGCTGCCTGCATCCCGTTCAGCCATCCGCCTAATGGACAGCAGACTGGCACGCCCCGGGGGGGCTGGCCGATGGCTCAGCGGGATTCCTGTGGCCCCTCACAGTGTCCGCCTTTCTGCTGCTAAACACTCCCACCTGGCTTGGTGAGCACCCCCACACGCAAAAGCAAAACAGGCCAATGACTGAACGGAACACATGGACACAATACAGCTCTACCAGGGGCAGGATTTCTTGCTTAGCCGGATAACTTCTCAGATTTAAGGTAGCCTGGGCTAAATGTAAATGAACTACGAAGCCAATTTAAACTGGGGCACCTTAAATCTAACAAGTTATCCAGTTAAGCAAGAAACCCTGCTGGGTGATATAAGCCCCAGGCATCCTGAGTACAAAAATACCCAAATACAAACCAAAAACCCCCCAAAACAGCATCTTTGGGGGGAGAGCTGCAAAAACACACATTAATTAAACTGTCCCTTGCTTCCATTAAAATAAGACACAAACATACACTATGACTGATTGACTTAATTGACATTGTTAAGGATCATTGGTATTGCATTTACTCCTAATTGGCAAATAAATTAGCACTTTAGACCTGATTATTGAAAGACAGAAAGGCAAATTAAAAATTAAATGAACAGAAATCGCTGGCAATTTTTCCTTCGTGTTAGTAAACCAAAATGTCACAAACGGTTTCTTAAAAATATTGCAGTTATGAGGCAAAACGAGTGCAATGAAAAGATGGAATTCGTTGGAATACGGAGCCTGAGCTACATAATACAAATTAACTCCCGGGAGATGTTCCTGGGCGAGGGAGAGAAGGGGATGCATGCCGGAGAAAGGCGGACAGGGGGCACCTGATTCCCAAACAGGTTGAACCCGTTGATGGCCTCCAAGGCTGCTTTGGCGAGCCCCACAGAGCTGAAAGCAGAAAGGAGAGACGGCCGTGAGGACAAACAGCTCAAGGCGTCCAACACCGAAAGCCAAATGCATCAATGTAAAACTGTAGCACACTGTAAAACAACATCTATTTGGTCAGCTGATCCCCCTGACCATCCCACAAAGGGACCTACCTGAATCTCTTCACAGGAAATCTAGCTAAAGTGCTATACCCAAAGGCATCAAGTACTCCTCCAGGGCGTAAACAACACGCAGGTGCGCATGACATCACAGGGAATCAGATATGTTCATTACATATCTACACCACATATATGCTTCTTTTTATCGGGTCAGGCTATGGCGATATGAATTATTGAAAAGAAAACAAAAGTAGACAGAGATGTCGTATCTCAGGACGATCAGGTCCGCCTGTTTTTTACGCAGAGAAAAATCAGTTCATGCCCCATACCGACTTCCTGCTCGCTCCTCTTATATTAGTGTTGCTGGCTTGTCAGGCACAAAGCTCTTTGATGATCCTGAATAACATCCCCCTGTTCCCCGCTACAAACTGCGAGACCGATCCCGCAGCTGCTTGATATTTCTCTCGCATCTAGACGTCCCGGCATGCCTCAGACGAACGGGAGCAGACAGACGAACGCAGGAAGGGACGAACGCGGAGTCGGAAAAAAAATACAGGCTCCGATTACACGTTACTTATGCTCCGATTAATGTGAATTTAGGTGCTGCTGTCATACTCGCAGACAGCCTTTGGTTTAAAGCACAGGTAATTACAGGACATTAAGCCTGTTTAGGGTACAACATCCTGCCCTTCCCGCTACCTTTTGAGCCAGTTTGCCAGCCCATTGGGCTTCCTGTTGTCCTAAATTTCTTAGCAGATGGTTTAGGGCCTTGCCAAAACGCAGGCGGGTTTGCCAACAAGGCTGGGCACCAGAGCAGGATGTAAACAAAGGCAGGACATTGCACACAGATTCAGCTGAATACCTGAAACTTTTTTCCCGGATATTATAAAGATAATGAAATATTATGCTTTATACATCATCAGTTTGACACGTAGCCTGGTCGGCTGCTAGGTTTTAGAATACACAATGAGATTCATTTGCATACTCTTCTTCAAAAGCAAAAGTACGATGGTCGGCCCAGTGATAAATGCGAGAACATCCTCTCTGTGGAGCTCCGGTCGCAGACACGCCCCGGGTTTGATCCCCACTGTGACGCCTGGCTCAATCTACCCCCGGTGGGTGGGGAGGGGCGGGAAGGCCGGGTCTCTCAGACTGTCATGGTTCTACGGCGAAGCGAGCTTTAGACCAGGAGCCTGCAGGGCTATGGGCAGATTTAAGGGGACAGGGCACTTCCTGAAGCCCAGAAAGCTGATGGTACGAACACACCTAGGCAGGCGTGTGCTGGTCTGCTCCACACGGGTGTCATGGACTGAGAGAGACACCTATGGTAGGATTAAATGGCCATTCCAGATGGTTAAGAAATGGAGGAAGATAAAGAAATAGATATAGTAAATATGAGTACACTGGTTTATAAAGGATGCCTTGCTCCAAAATTATTTTTTTAAGTATGATCAATGTAAACTTGCTTTACATTGACTCCCTATAGTAAAATCACTGGGAAATGTGACCGTTTTGATGTTATTAGACATTTTTTAAGTCTAACTGGAGGGACTCTGCAGGGAAAACGGTCCTTTGATAAAAGAGCGACATGGAGGATGAGAGTTATGGCGGACGTGTTCTTTAACAGGCGAGCGCAGAGACGGATGAGTGTGAGTCAGAATCCATGGGCCGTGAACCTCATGCCACCAGTACGTGATGGAGCCAAAGACTACGAGCCCTGACCTCTGGTCCCGATCCGTGGCGGAGGAGCCATGCTTTAATGACCCTTGACCTTTACCAATAGCTGATCTGAGAGACAGGCCTATCCTGTGAGAGGGGTGGGGCTTATGGAGTCAGGAGTCACAGTCAATCACAGAACAGACAACTCCCCAGTGCTAATCCGGCAGACTCGCGCCCACGATTCAAAACCTAAACACTGATACCAATAAATGATGTTCCAAAATAGAGTCAGATTGTAGCTAGCTAGCTGGGGTAGTAAGAAACACGTTAATTTAGTGCTTAGCGTAGTGTGTGTTTGATGCCAACAGGAGGCCCCCCACAACCCTCAGGGGCCCCATGTAGCGCGGTTTGCGTTATAACCTGGAGTGAAGCTCTGTGCTCCCATTGTTGTACTTGCTGCCGCGCTCCCACATGCCGAAATCGGGGACCCTGTAGGCCCTCTCGACGCAGAAGACCAGGTTCTGGATGAAAGACACCTACAAATGTGGGGTGGGGGGGGGTTGGTGGTGGGGAGGGGGGGATTCTTGTCAGATCCATGGCTATGAGCCGTTAGCATTCATCTCAGACACAGCCTCACAAAGTCATCAAAGCTCGCCGGCAGCGTGCTGACAGGCGACACGGTCCATCCTTCCACCATCAGGCACGGCAGGGAAAACCGGAAGAATCCGGCCTGTCTCACTGATATTAATGGCAGCAGTTTCGTTTTTAAAGCCAGGAATGAAAGTCTGCGTTCCGGACTGACAATGCTTTCACATCAGGTCTCTGTATCGCAAAACGGACACTTAAAGCGCGACTTCATGGCGTTTCAATCAGGGCCCCATGAGGCGCTGCAGCGGGGGGTTCCGTGGGCGGCAGGCGGGGGATTCGGAAGGAGACGGTCAGACTGATGGTCGACGGGGCCTGAGATGTCACCGTCACCGGTGGGAGCAAAAGTGAGAGCCAGGCTCGAGCAGGTCTGGTGACAGGCGGCTCTGTGCAGGAGCAATGGTTTGGCTTACAGATGGAGGGAGGTACTGAGACACCAGTACACACACAGCACACACGCACTTACAGACAGACAGACAGACACACACACAGCGCACATGCACTTACAGACAGACAGACACACACACAGCGCACATGCACTTACAGACAGACAGACAGAGACACAGACACACACACACACACAAAGACACAGACAGAAGGTCACAGATGCACACATGTACTGCAGAGAGGGACACAGAGACAAACAGACGCAAGCAGACAGACACACATATACAGAAATACACACATGTACTGTACATACAGACACACACACGGAGCGACAGAGAAACAGACATAGGCACACCTATGGAAGCTGTCTCATACCTTCATTTTCACTCACACATACTGTACACACACACACACACACACACACACACGACCCAGATCCCAAACACTGCACTCCCTCCTGAAAGTCCCCACCCCCACAATTTCCCGCCTCTGGAGGCTAAAGCACCCCGTGGGTCACTGCAGACCTGCGCGGCCAAGTCGTACTGCGGGAAGAACAGCGTGCTGCTTGGTGAAAGTGGAGCGCCTGGGCGAGTGACAGACAGAAGAGAGGGGGGGGGCACGGACCAACATTCTGATTGGCTAGAGTCCCGGAGAATCATAATGAACGCTGATAGCCCGAGGGCCCGCCAGCTCGTCTGTCTTCAGCACGGCGACATGAGCCGCGTTTCATTTTGTCTTATTTGTGCTGCTGACGACAGGAAAACATCCGCCCCCCCCCCCCCCCCATGCAGCGGCCCCTGCAGGGGCTTATGGGAAATATCCACGCAGGTAAATCACACTTCTTGATTGAAGACTAGACAGTTAAGGAGCACATCTCTCAGGTCCTCACTCATCGCCATGACGACACCCCTCCCCCATTCCCGCTACAGTGACATCGAAAGAAAACCTCTGGTCCCCCATAAATGTGTCCCTTAAATTATGTTTTTACTAAGAATAATGATAATAATAAAATGATCGCTGGCTTTGCGTTCATGCTTTTTAATTGGGTTATGCAGTCCAATAAACCAGGTCTTAAAAATGCAAATTAATGTTGCTTTGTGGACTCCCCCCTGAGCCCCTCCTCCTACAGAAATCCCTCAGGAAGTCAATTTGTCTTGGGAAAATAGTCAGTCGGATGGCTGTTGTTTTAATAAACAGAGTAAATGACCTCAAAATCTCAAAGGGGACAGTGTGCATTTCCCACGGCGAGGTACGAATCATTTTTCACAATGGCGTTCCAGGTAATGCAATCTCAACGCCGGAGATCACAAGATCGGGGGAGAGCAGTAACCATACAGGTATTTTCCCACAGGACCGAAGCGAGCTCAACATGACAGATGGATGAAGTGGGATCGAGGACGAAAATTTCATTCCGATGAAGTGCTACGTACATGAGAGACAACTCGGGGTGGGGGGGCACAGCTGGAACGCGAGTAACAGCACTCAGCAGGCTCAGGATTACAGATGCTCAGAATAGCGACTGGGTCGTCGGCTCGGAGACGACGGCAAAGTACCTCATCTGTGTTGTAGATGATCTGGAGGCCGGAGCAGATCATCTCCACCAGATAGAGCAGGAAGAGGGAGACTGCATCAATCTAGGGAGGGAGAGACAGGGAGCTCAGGAACAGCCAGATCGGCGGGAGCCGCGGGAGGAACTCAAACTCATTTTTCACATACAGACGGGGTTTCTGAAGTCATTAATATTCCACGTCAGGTTGAGAAGCTGGGGAGATAGCAGATTTCTGGACAAACCGCTCACACTCGCCGCTAAGTGATTCACACACAGAAAAACGACGCAACAACCCTGCAATTAAGCGCAGTGGGACACCTTCGGCCAGCCATAACTGCAAAGATCAAAACACAAAATCCCACAGGTACTCCATTTCCCTTTTTTTTTATATATTTTTGCAGTTGGGAAATGCAACCGCATGAATCCGAAATGAGACCCGCAATGATCATAATCGCAGGAGAGAAGTTTTCCCACCCGAAATGTTTCCAAAATAATTTTCATATTCCCAGAATCATTAAGCCTGTGATCTCTTAAAAGATCTTCAAAGCGACTGTAAACGATGAAGCATGCCCTCCGTTAAAATAATCAAGGACTTCATTTGATCTCACTAAAAGGGTGTCCCCTAAACATTAAATAAATTTAGCGATACTTTTTATAGCTTTAATGGACCATTAGAGAATAAGGAAGAAGCACAAAGCAAAGACATAAGACAACATCGGAAAGTGCGGCAACCTGAAGATGGCTGTAGCTGTTGTAGGACAAAACTTCATCGCCCGTGTGCACATTGAAGATCGAATGCAGGCATTTGGATGGACTTGGGTCCTGTTTGAACTGTTCCACCTGTAGGGGGTGGGGAGAAACCGTGGCTTAGTTATGTAGGTTACGTTGGATTAGAGCATGCATTAATAAACAAACGCAAGGCGTGAAAAACATTTCCAGGTCATGTGTGCTACTCCCTGCTACAGTAGCTGCGACAAAACGGCCGGGCCCTTCGTATGGACAGATTTTCCTGCGGGAATCCTGTGGAAACCGGGCTCATCCGTGTCTCCGGCGCCAGGCCAGGCAAGCCGTGGTGCGCAGCTCGGCGTGAAGTGGACCGCCGTCGGACAGATCTATGCCAAACGTCGTCCCCGGCCGCCCCCGCTCAACCCCAAACCCCGCTGGTGTCATTATAAATAGGCAGCCTATATTTAGTGTTCCGGTCCTCTGACAGTAGCTAGTGGGGTTGAATCGGCCACTCTCCCGTCCCAGATTTGCTCCGTGCCGAACAGTGCAGCCAGGAACAGGCAGTGGGTGCAGAGCTGGCAGGGGGATTTTGCGGGGTGTGAATGGTCTTCAGAGCCTGTAAGGAACACCGCAAGCCGCCTGCCACCCCCCCCCCATACCTGTGACATGTGACAAATGAGGGCGTGGAGTATGCGGTCGCGGTAGTTGTGGCTTTTGGTGCGATATCGGTGTCGAGCGTCTGCTACAACGCTGTTGACCACCCTGCTGGTGGTCTAGGGCACGAGTGGCAACTGCACCCATGTTGAATGAAAAACACAATGTGAGCAGATGACGCTTCACGTACCGATCCCTGGAGTACGCAGCATTGGACACTGGGTAAATAACAGCCCCCCCGAAGGAACACGGCAGTGGCACTGTACCCCCACCCCCATGTTTGTGGCAGCCCCGCTCGATACTCCCTCTGTGTGGGAGGAGGATTAAAATGACTTGTTCCCTCTTAATGGCAGAGACAGGTGTTAATGAATGCAGTGCGGAGTAATTAACTGTATAAATGGGGCATCGTAATTAAGACACGGAAAAGCTTTCCCCCAAATTGGGTCGCCGGGGTCATGATTAAATGAAACGGAACAATTTCAAAAGCGGGGGAGATGTTCGATTAGAGAGCGATGGTGATGGTAGGATGGGGGGGGCGAGGCGTGGATTTTACTTGGTATCGTTGGAAGTGGTGATCTCGTCACGGAGAAGGAGCAGAACGGGATCTGATCCCGGCATTTTCCGCAGAGCGCGGCATCGGTAAATATTTTCAAGTGCGTGAAACCAGGTGTGAAAACACCAACAGGTGTGCTGTGGAGGCTGGTGATGGCAAAGCTGGCTGTTCAGTCAAGCGGATTGATCACTGGAGCTTAGCACTAGAGCTGTGTGGGTTTGATCACTAGAGCTCTGCACTAGCGGACTGTGGGATTGATCACTGGAGCTTAGCACTAGAGGTGTGTGGATTGATCACTAGAGCTCTGCACTANTTGATCACTAGAGCTCTGCACTAGCGGACTGTGGGATTGATCACTGGAGCTTAGCACTAGAGGTGTGTGGATTGATCACTAGAGCTCTGCACTAACAGACTGTGGGATTGATCACTGGAGCTTAGAACTAGAGCTGTGTGGGATTGATCACTAGAGCTCTGCACTAGCGGACTGTGGGATTGATCACTGGAGCTAAGAACTAGAGGTGTGTGTGATTTATCATTGGAGCTCAGCACCAGCAGACTGTGGGATTGACCACTGAAGTTTAGCACTAGAGGAGTGTGGGATGTATCAGTAGAGCTCAGCACTAGGGGGCTGTGGGATTGATGACTGCAGTTACAGGTAAGTATTAGATGAGTATGGGATTGATCACGACAACTCAGCAGTAAATGCGTGTGGGTTTGATCACTACAGCTCAGTCTGGAGGGGTATGGGTTGATCACCATAAATCAGGGCTAGGGCTGTGTGGGGGTGATCACTGCAGCTCATCACTAGACGAGTGTGGGACTGATCACTATAGATCAGCAATAGATTAGTATGGGATTGATCACTACAGCTCAGTACCAGAAGACTGTGGGATTCCCATGCTCTAGTCATCTACACTATCACATGCAAAATGGGGCAGCGGCCTGAGTGTGATTTGGCAGAAGTTTCGCTGCAAGAATAATCCTGAGAGCACAATTAAGGCCTGACTTTCACGCTGACTGTGAAATTTGAATGCTTATCTGTTCCAGATCTTTCTGGGCGGACACATCGCCCAGCCTACGGCTAAAGCAGCGTCTCTCTTCCCGGTGTGTGCCAGCAGTGAGATAGACGGCAGTGGTGCAGGACCTTGGCTGACTGGCGCATGTAGCAGTACAGGATGCCCCGCATACACTTGATGGCCGAGTGCTCCAGCTCGTGAGTGCGGCCCATGTCGTCGTCGAGGCGCCTGGATACAGTGGGGGGGGGGGAAATAGAGTGAGGTGACCCGCTTTTCACAGACTGTTTATGAATGGCGCTTCACTGAGCAAGACACACCGATGGCGCCTTTTTACACCCCATATTATTATTCATAGGAAATTATAACAAGGACTGAAAACTGTGGCAATAATTCAATGCCCACAGTATGTTCAACGTTAAGCTTCAAAATTCAAAAAAAGCTTAGAATCAAGCATGATGAGAGTGAATGTCTCTTTCACAGAGGACACCATACATATCAGAACAATTATATATTACAACCTCTCCTAATGTTCTTTAAGGTAAAGGTAGGATCATTTTTCTGTAGTCTTTTAACATATATTCATCCAGCTTTCAACGTCTTATCTTGGGTTGGGATAGGGAAGCAGGAGTACACCAGGATAGGAAGCCAATCCGTCACAGGGCACACACAGACATACACACGCATAATAAACTATGATGTATAAGTGTCAGTGAACAATTTCATGTCTTTGGACTATGAGGTGAAACTCCACACAGAGAGCAGAGGTGGGATTCGAACCTCCGACCCTGCCAGTGTGAGACAACACTTCCACGTTACCATGGCAGCCAGCACATGACTCTTCAAGCATCAGAATTTGCATATTATCCCTCCGGAGAAATACAAATGAGATGTATTTCGGTATTGTGTGCCTATAACTACCGTGAAGATTTATCAAAATTAAACTGTCCTTCAAAACATCCAGGGGCATGCCTGCTGCAGATAAACAAGCGCGAGAAAAAAAAGAAAAAGAAGAAAATTATCAGATTAAAGTGTCACATTTAACGGCACGGGGACATGTTTAGTGCCATAATCCTAAATGCCAGGGTGCAATAAACGTCAGTGTTAAGAAGAAAAAGGAGGGGGTGTCCTCTGGGGGGCCGCAAATCCATGATTCCTGTAACAGTATAATTGCAAAGAGTTTGAAAACGTGAAAGTCCAGGCAGACAGGCATCCCGGCCCTTCTGCGGGCCCCACGCTCGTCGACAAAAGCAGCCCAAAGATAAGTAATGGACTAGGTCTGTACTGTCAGGTCAGATTCATCCTAATTAAATCCCACTGTCTTTGCTAATAGGAACAAACCATGACTGATGGCCTCTGGTCCACTCCCGCTTCTATTTTTGGGGTGGGGGGCAGAGAGTGGACCTGACACCGGGCTGAGGACAGCTTCTGGGGGAGGGCGATCAGCAGGCCGCCCTGCTCTTTCTAGCCTGATCGACAAGTGGGAAAGCTTAAGCGACAATGGGACTACAAAACTGAGATAAACCTTTACGGGATGCCCTGCGATGCGTACATGAACGAGCAATGTTACGTGCACCTGAGATATAATGGACTGAATCACCTGCTGGACCAAATGAGCAGTCAATCATGTAGCACAGACGGCGGAGATAGCATGCAGGCCCAGGCTAACAGACAGGTAGCCATTTAGCTTAAGACCGGTGAGACACATGGACATGCTGGGGAGAGCACAGACAGCCCCCCCCCCCCCAGAGTGCTCACCTGTAGGCCATGGCGAGGCACCAGGCACTGGCGGCACAGTACAGCGAGTCCCTGACCTTGGCCTCCTTGCAGTCGGGGCATGTCTTCACGGGGAACAGGCCGGTGGTGGGGCTCTGGAAGTTCAGGATGGTGCATTTTACTGCAGGGAGGAACATGGACAGAGGAAGATGCATCATAAAACGATACATACAACTACTCGAATGATGTAACGGCAGAAAAGCTCACCACCCACACACTCAATGGCCATTTTATTAGGAACACTAAGGTAATACAAGGTAGGGCCCACTTTTTGCCTTTAGAACAGCTTGAAGGGGACAGCGTGCACTCGGAGAAGCCATTCTGCACACCACTGGCCTGTTATTTTTGAACTTCCGGTGAGATTTAATGAGCCTGGCCATTCTCCTCAGACCTCTCTCATTGTTTTTATCTACAGAACTGCCCCCAAGAGTTCATTACACCATCCTCTGCAAACCTTAACCAGGGGTAGCCAATCTTATCCTTAAAGGGCCAGTGTATGCAGATTTTTGGGATAACAGTTACTGTAGGTCAGCTGTTCAAACCCAGGCATGAGGACTCTTCAGCCAATCGGTCCTCTAATTGGTAATCTAATTAGCGTGCTGCACCAAAAACCCACATACCCAACAGCCCTTTCTGAATAAGATTAGCCACACCTGCAGTAAACACTGAGGTGTGTAAAAGTCCCAGACAGGTGACGGCTAGTGACAGCAATCACACCAACTTCATAATTGTAGCTTAGCTCAGCTGAATGTTAACCATGACTGCATGCCGAAGGTATTCAGTTACAGCAACATAATTCACTGTTTGGAGAAGCAAGCTGCTCGGATTAACAAGCAGGTGTACCTGATCAACAGGGCACTAAGCGCACACCACTAATACAGCTAAACGAGCACCTGTTCAGGACAAATTGATTATGAATACAAGGAAATAATTTTTTAACAGCAAATCAGCATATCTTACACTCTCGGGCCCACACTGACAAAGCAGCAAACCTTGTCACAGACCTCACCTACAGCTCACTGCTCTACGGCTTCAGCATCCAGCGTTTGTCACATCACCTGCTCACGAGGGCGAGAATGGCAGCAACTGAGGCCACGGAGAATCTTATTCTGTGATTCTCATTTAACAGCTAATTAGGGTACAAAGGGGAAAACGTATTAACAAAGCCTGCTGTCCATACTACTGCAATCGCTCTTCTGTATTAGCATAAATCCGTCATTAGCGAGATTAGATTAACCAAATGGTGTCCCCAGCATCCTCCGTCAATCGCTGAGACTAAATAGGCACGAGGCCGATAATGGAAAGGCAGCCATCACAAGGGGCCCATCTTTCCACTCCTCCGAATCTTCCTCTCATCCCTGACAACTTCTGGATCCGTGCTCTCCGTCATCAGCGATGCGTGTCCGGTCGGAGGGGTACAGTTCATTTGTCACCGTCGCATTATGTCACCGCAGAGCAAAATGGACGTTTATTTTGTGCAAAAGTTCGGGAAGGATGGTGCGAGTCGGCTGGAGGTGGGGCGGAGTCAGTTGGAAGAGGGTGTGGTCTGCTGGAAGGGGGTGTGGTCTGCTACACAAGTGGGACAGAGCAACAAGCATCAGCAAACTCATCGGTGGTGCTGCCATGGAGAATCATTTTCACCTTGTGGCTATGCTGGGGAGGCCAGGAAAAAGTATCCGGGGGGGGGCAGGTCCGAAAGTAAAGGCATCATTTTCCCCAAAAAAGCAAAAGCATGACCGCAGAAAAATCTCTTTAGTGCAATATATTTATTTTCCAAAATCTAAAATATCTAAAATTGGGTGGGAATGATGCAAGAAAATCAACCGAAAAACAAAAGGTTTCACAATTACTGACACCCCTTTTAGTACTTGGTACAGCCTCCCCTGGAGAGGATGCTAAAATTAAGCATATTTACATGTTTAATAGCACATTTGGTCGGATCTTGGCTCATTCTTCCATGCAGATCCTTGGTTTGCTCATGTATCTTCCTTATAATAATTTCTTCTGGGAAGATCGAAAGGACTGAATTTTACTGACTGATCTCACGCGTCTGTTTTTTTGGGAAGCAGGAGTCAGCGTCTGTCACCCACAGAAACCGTGGGCTCCATTCTGGATGGCACTTTAAAATCCAATTCAGAGGTGAACCTCACACAATGCCGCTAACATCCTTTTCATCCTTTATGGGGGTCTGAATGCTGTCATGTATAGGGAAGCATCCCTGACCGGTGAGGGATCCTGCACGCCCCCCCCCCACCCCCGCGCCACCCGGGGGCACACAGCGGGAGAGCGCCATTCGCTACCGTCGGCTGGGGAATAAAATTAAAGTCGCTGGAGCATTGCAATATTACCACATAGATGATAGAAAATCCCACAGCCTGAAGACAGAGCTCTCATCTTCCTTGCAGCCAAAACATACAACGCGAGTCCTGACTGAGATGCCTCTGGAAGGCTAGTGGTCAGAGCCTGCAGCCGGCCGTTTCTTTTAGACAAGAACCACATTTAAAAGATCTACTTTCTCCTCTCTCAACACTAGGGTCTCTACCACATTTCCAGGACAGAGGATACACGGCCCCAGCAGACAGAGCGTGCTGCTCACATCTTGTCACTAGCTCAAAGCTTCGGTTACACGACCGAATGCGTTACCTTGTTATCCAAACCCTCTTGCTCTCCACAGGCCGTACAAAGAGTGTCTAAAAATAAACCCTCAACCCAAACCGGATCCGGCTCCCCGTCATGCCATCCCGAGCCTGGGCAGACTTGGCCCACAGTGGGACGCTCCTCTAATCCCAATTAAAGCGGTGATTAACAGAATCGAGTGCTTAAGTGCTCAGGTGGCACCAGGGCCTGCAAAAGGCAAGTCAGGTGATATGTCTCTGACTCGATAAGGGCGAAGCTGCATGCATAGAGGGGATTCAGACGTTGCCAAGCCAATGAGCTCATCCAAAACACGGTGACCCACTTAGAGATCTACACCTTACCTATTCACATTGAAAACTGTGTTCAAGTGCATCTGTTAGTTACACCACACTTATATTGTACCCATTTTCACCTTCCCCGCCTCGTTTAGTCCGACGTTTATTGGATCAATGCAGGGCAAGAGCCATGTCTAGGTTAGAAACTGTAAATTCCATTAAAAAGCAACCTTGACCTGGAATCGCCAGCCTTATTACGAGTCTGTGCCCTTCCACGAAAGACCCTAGGATATTAGGAATATGGCTACTATGGAGCCTGACGTAAGCATTGAGCTAATCTGTATGTCATTTCAGAAATAAAAATCTTAAACCGGCAGCCTTAACCTACGAGCTGTGAGGTCACGGTGTTTCCCCACTGTACAGCCGTGTCATCCCTCAAACATAATAAATCATAAAAGAGGCTTAATTCCCTCAGTCGTACTTAGACTGACTGAGAGTGTTAACAGTAATCAACATGAACAGAATGATACAGAAGCAGACGTGACATTTTCACGGCAAGTCATCGTTCCGTTTTACATGACAGCAAGGTCACTCGCTCATTCAATTCAGCTGAATCTCCCACCCGACACAAAAGTTCTCATTTCAAGTCCCAATAGCCTCGCAAATCTCATGGCATCTTCCCCCGAGTCATTCCACGTTTCCCAGCTGCACTCGGTCCTCCCAAGTGAGATAAAAGTTGACTGTGGGGTCTCCCCGACACCACCTGTCCCTCGGGAGAGAGCTGAAGCCGCAGGCTACTCATCGTCTCATCCGCTGCGGAGATGAGTGCACTTCCAGGAGCTGTTCATTTTGTCGGATTAGTCTCGTGTTGACCTGCCGACACCACAAACTCGTTCTACATAAATATGTACGACAGCCATCTGCGTACGGAGGCTCGGAAACGTGAAAGAAACCGTTAACTGCATCTCAACAGAGAAAGCAATGCCGATCAGGGAGCTATAGTTTTTTGCTAAATATTTATGCAAGATAAATCACAAACCCTAATTAAACAAGAAAAAAACAGCAGCTTGCAGGATTTTTAAAGAGAAGTAGCTATTTCTTCCTTCTTCCTCAGCCCAGTGATTCAGGACGTCGTGATGCCAGGCTCTCCACACTATTAGTTTCCCGTCCTATCAAACCAAAAAGGATTTTCCCCTCCAGTAAACTGTAGAACCTTTGGGGGGGGGGGGGGAAGTGTTCAGTTACAGAGCCGTGTTGAGGAAAATCTACGTTAACGCAGCATTTTGTTCAGACTAACAATATTTTGCTCTGAGGGGATCAAGCTCTGCAACCTCAATGTCGTTCGATCGTCACACGATGCGTGGCAGGTCTGTAAAAAGGGCGTTTTGGATGACCAGCGCCACATCGCGAGAGGGAAAAGTCAGAGGGAGAGGTAAGAGCGGGAGTCGTTTGGGGAAGCCGATCGCTCAGACGGAACAGATGGGTATTGATTAAGGCCACAAATCACCTGGGCCCTGAAGAGGTAGAACTAAACAAATCCCAGAGAATATATAAATGGCTTTCTGGAAGGACTGACGGAGTCTGGCAGGCAAACAGATATGTACGTCATCTGCCAGTTATTGGGGGCTGGGTGGTCAAATGTTTTCCCCTGCTGTAACTAGACAAATCCCAGGGCAATTTTAAATGACTTTCTGAGAAATGCACCGAGTCTCAGCGGCAAACGGATGCGTACGTTACGTGCCAGTGGCGGAAAGAGAAAGGGTGGGTGTGTGTGTGTGTGTGTGTGTGAGAGAGAAATGATTTCCCCTCTGTCGCTCCTTTAAACATCTAGCCCATTCCTGCAAGCTAAAAGCTACTGATATGGCTCTCCACCATCCATCTTTTTACATCCACATCTACGCTGTTGGCCGGCATCATGCAGGTACTGAGGCAAGCCCATGGGATTCACGGCTGTACAAACGGCGGCATGATCAAAACAAGGAGCTCCCTACAGCGTGAACTGTGTTTCGACCCCACCTTCAGCTGTCTGGGGTCAGGGGAGCCCAAAGGTCCAAACCAGATGTCAGTCTGATCACAATCAGAGGGAAAGGACATTAAATTGAAATATTACAGATTTCGACTTGAATCTCAAGGGCAGGAACCTGAGCTCAACATCCCTGCTTCAGTTTGAGGACCCAGGAAACATATGGGCTCTTTATCACAGAATTCCCTACCTGGGTCTATTTTAAATGACCATTTATTTTCCCCTGAAGGCAGGGCTGGACTGGTCATCTGGCACTCCAGGCATTTTCCCAGTGGGTCGGCAAAATTTACCGTGGGGGGGGGACCCCAAAATCCAGGGAAGATTTTTATCCCAGTACAGCCCCACCTGAAGTCGCACTCACACAGCGACCACCTGGAATGCCATGTTGACCCACCCACAGTGCTCACCTGTGCTATAGTACCGGTCCAACTTCTCCCACAGAGGCTCATCCTCTCGAGGAAGGTTCGAGAGCTTGAGAGGCTCATAGATGGAACCTGCCAATACAGAGAATTTTTTTATTGAACAACAGCAATCATAGCAAGGTCTACACCATGCGGCCTTTACTGGGTCATCAGTCTGTTGACTGCTGGAAACCGGGCCATTACATTAATCTGCCACTCAGGGGACATTTCTGTATTTATGTTTTCTACATTTATACATCCTTAAGCAAAGCATTCAGTTAAGTATCCTACTCAAGAATACAATGGCAGGGGTATTACTAGGAATTTCTTGGTTGTCATGTTGTTAACCAATAACACACACTTAAAAGAACACCAATACATAAATGTGGACAACATTTATGTACTAGACATTAACAAATCGCTATTAATGCGTTTGTGACAATCACTGCTTATACTTTAGTACACAAATCCATTTTACATCTGCTGCCATTGTCGTCTGAGTGGGTAAAACAGGCTGCGGATTCATAGGTTGTTTTTAACAAGAGAGCAATAAATTAAAGGAGACAGTAAGCTAAAGACAGAAGACGACAGAGAAGAATGATCCTAAAACAAAGAAATGACTGACATTGTTATTCCGCTCACCAGAGAAATGCAAAGAGAAATGCAGGCGGCGGTGACTGCGAAATGCAGAAAGCGTGCCGGCGTCGTGTTTAAATTAAATGGTCACACTGAAACATCAATAAAAGCGTCAATAAAAGCCCTGAAACAAAAGTCAGATAGAGGAACGATGGGAAAGGAAATTCACTAAATAATTGAACTTGTCACCAGTTAATTCCTCCACCCCCCTTACTCGCGGCATAGCGAATGGTAAGAAGAACTGCATTTGTGAAAACCAAATTTATTTCAGACACATTTAAAGTTTGGGACAATTTGCATTTTAATGGGATCAGCCACGGGTCACTACTTCAGGTGCTGAAAATTCACGTAAGTACAGAAAAATTAACATAATTTCCATCGGCTTTTAAGCAGCAGAAACAAACGCGTCCCTTTTAGCCGGATCCGTAAGAGAGCCGCGGTCCCTGTGCGCGCGAGATCTTCCGTGCGCGATGATGGCCAATCTTTGGTTGCTAGGTTATACATTTGGGATAAGTCATAAATGACAGCCGAACGACAGTTAGGGGAAAATACACAGTGGGGGGAATTTAATAATCATAATCTGTGACCACGTATGCTTCCACTGCGGCATGGAAAAAGGAAATCATACATGCAGAGTCTCGAGGAGCCATCAACGCCTGGCCAAAGCAGGTCCGACGTCCATTAAAAATATATATCAATGAAAAAATATTTTTCAGAATGGACAGAGAAATAAGTTATGCCATCTTCGGGGTTTGAACCTTAGCTAAATAATTACTGCATCAGTGTAAGGAGCCAGTAAAGAGCGTATTTGAATAAATCCCCCATTACAGATGGCTGGCATCTGTCAGACTACTGAGATCTGTTATTCAAACTGTTAAGGGGAAGGTATACATGCCAGATTCTGCAACAAATTTAAAAACGGTCATAAATCCCCAACTATGTGCCCATATGAATTTCTTTTATATACTTTATCCACCTGACTACAGCTAAAAAAAGATGCAATACATTCTCAAAGCTAGAATTCAAATCCCGAAATATCCATCAAAAAAAAAAAAATTCTTGTGTTGAATTTCCCAGGTTCTGAATGCCGGCCTGCCCCCCCCCCCCCAAATCCCATGGGGAAGATGACTGACAGAAAATGTCATCATTCTAGTGACATGCTAAACAACAAGTGAGGATAAAGCCTTTGCTTTCATTCTTCCAACGTGCATTATGTTTTCAGCGATACCATCCCACCGCCCAGACTGTGGCGGGGGGCGGGGGGGCATTGTGACAAGCCGCCTGGAACAGCCAGTTCGGGAGCGACAATAGCTTTGAGAGCTATAATTTACCAACAGAATGCACTTGATACTTTTCGCAATGAGCTGCCCGCATTTAATTGGAAAAGCAGCTACAACAGCACTGCAATACTTTTTACCTGAGTCAATAATCAAGCGGTGAAATAGCTGTAATCATAAAGATGATCTAAGGGTCGGGGTATAAGACGACGTGCCTGTTGACATCGTAAAGGCACAGGGCTAAAAATGAGCATATCAGCAAAGCGGTCTTTAATCATTACTCAGCAGGCTTCCTACAACCACGGACACTTCGATAGATTATAGGCAGAGATTTTAAAGATAATGTCAGCTAACTGAAGTTTCCTCTAATTGGCTAATGAAGTAAAGACAGCCAAGTAATCTGCATCACACTCTGCATATAACCAAACTGACCTCTGGCCCACGATGAGGTCATCAGCTGATCGGATACATGTCTGACAAGGTAGCAAGGACACATCCCAGCATTAAGTCAGGCAATTCTATTCAGCAAGTACATGGTGCTTCTTTCGGCAAAGTTCAGCGATTCTAACTAGTTGTATCACCCTTTAAGCTATGTCTTGTGCTATTGCAATTATGAATATTTATCAGATGTATTTGTTGGTCAGTATGGCATTTTTCTCTGGTTAATGGGCAAATGGTAAATGATAGAAAGCCAATATTCACAAATAAACCTACCCACAGACCTACTAGCCACAGAATCTTGTATGAAAACCCCACTGACCATGTACCTACCCCAATGTTGCATGTATCAATGAGAGTTCCTATGTGCCCCAAGACTGGCTGCCAGACAGCCTTCAGCGGTGTTTTGGGACCTCCTGGAAAGTATTGTTTTATCACTGCAACACGCTCCATTTGCTGGGACTGTCATGATAGCCGCTAGTGCTTGCCTTCCTTGCATCACTAAACACACAAGGTATTATGGGTAATTGTGCACATGCTTTCACTGGACTCACAGTTTGCCTGTTGTAGCTTATCTGTTTATTGCTGGGCTCCATGCTTCTACGAACTGCCACTACTACTAACTGTGCCTTTGTTTAAGATACCTTACTTTCCAAAACCTACATCTCCATTATGACATCTTTTCATGATATCTGATACTCCTCTTGGCTAAGGCTGTCACAATCATGAAATTTAAGTTGCCGATTGATTATTGTACAAATAATTGCGATTTACGATTTGTCTTTTTCTGTTCATTTTATAACACTACCAGCCTAGAGTTAGCCTAATCATAGTTTAATATTACATATACACCTCATGAAGAACTGAATATCAAATATTGGAACATAAATAAAAATTGCATTTGCCTTTTAAGCATAGGGAACAAAAATTGTAGATGCCTGATATGACATTAACAAAAAATAAGTTAAATAAATAGTTGGTTTTGTCTTTTCCCGGTCGCTACCACCTGCCATATTTTACTAAGCACGTGTTAACTTCCGTCGAATATTTCCAGTTTTTGGATCAGCACTATTACCTAAATATCCCATACCTGAAATGTTAGTTTACATTCCCATCAGTTGGAAATGATGATATCCAAGGTCATGGTATTTTGGGATACTTAGAGGTTTGGTTCACTCTAAACGGAAATATTAAGCATGGCATATTTTGTGCTTGTATCGGCCATATTTATACACAGGGATGCGAACTGGTATATATGTACGCTTTCGTCGTATATGCAAATTTATTTTATGTGCATTCCTGTCTTTATGACAAGAAATCACTGTGTATTTTAGCCTTTCTACCGCAAGTAGTACAGTACATATTACCCACATAAAGGGTAAAATGCACGGTAATTTCTTGTTAAAACAGCGCGAATGACATCAAATATGTACGCATGCGCGCTGCTGCAGCAAGAAATTGCCGCGTGTATCGCTTTACGGCGGAAGTTTACTTGCGTACCAGTTATGTGTACATGTTTATATCACTCCAAAATATTGGGATCAGGAATAAATTGACAAAATAGCATATATTTCTCTAGTTCTTTGTCCTATTAGTACAATTTATTGACTTTGCTGCAACAAAATAGCCGTAGCCGTCAGGGACATAGTCATCCCACTGTAGCAAGACGCATAAACACACGCTCAGACACAATGCATGTGCTATGCAAAACTTTTATCAAACGGAGAATACAAAGAATCCAAAATCGGAATATCTGACTGATATTCTGGGCTGAGGGAGATCTCTCACAAACAGCCCGTAAAATGAACCTGAAGTAGTGAAAAGAAATACTAAAGGGATCATGCTGGGTCATGAAAGTGTCGTGAAGCGAAGTGGTACAAATCGGGCACGTCGTAAAATATGCCGTTAAATGTAATGCTGCGCATGCGCAGACGCGCGAGGTATAAATACAGCAGGTAGTATGCGTTGGTTCAGAAGTGCAACAAGATATTGTCATTAGAAATAGTGAGAAGTACACCGGTTCAGTCTCATCCAGCTATTTTATACAGATGAATGGAGACGATTCTAACGATAATTGCGGTCAGTTCAAATAAACGCAATCAGGTGATTATGTAACTGTGTCAGCTACTTGTGGCCAATTATTTGGAATTGTAATCAATTTGTCAACTGATATGTTTAAAGGAATATTAAAGCCTTTCAAAAAACATCAGATAGTACGAACTGCAACATGACATTAAAACACCGTATCTGTACCATGTTTTAAGGCAGTAAAATTTAGAGGGCGGGGTCTTGTATACAGTTGCTGGGCATACCACCTGTAACGCATTGATGTACTAAACGACTTACCAGGCCTCTGAAGTTTGTGACGGACGCTGGGACACTCATATGCGGAGTTGGCCATTTTCAAAAGGCGCTGTTTAGGGCAATCGTCTTTCAGATAAACTACAAAGCTAATGCAATTCACAAAAGGGTTAGTAATTAAGCCATTATGACAACAGTCAGACAATCAACATGGAATTACACAGCAAGCTTGTTTAATAGGTTAATGCATAGAAAGGAGCTTATAAATTATATACATTTCTTTTAATAGTATTTATTATTAAGTTGGATTAACCATGCAGTGATTTGTTAAAATGGCGATGGCATGGGTATTTTACAAAAGATAAATAAGCAACACATACAAGAATGGCATGAGTTAAACCCAGATTTTTTTTATACCAGCTGCGATCACATCTACATCAAGTGATACTTTGGATTCTATCGCCCATTTAACGCACAAGGAGCGGGTGCGACGACAGCGTACTCAGACTATCATAGATGAAGGCTTATGTGTGAGGACTGCTACGATGACTGTGACAATCAAGCTCTCTAAAGTCGACATATATTGGTTCTCATATCACGTGCATTTAAATAAAATGCCATCATGAGTTAACAGTACCAGTAACTGACTGCATATCCAATAAATTAAATCAATATTAAATTTTAAAGGCTATCCAATGGTAGCTTGAAATTCGTGTTTTATAACTTTAACTTGGCTTTCAACCGAAATGTGTTACATTTATGTTCATAATTCTACGTTTTTAACGTGTCAGAACATTAAGACTTACATTTGGCCATGGTGCAGAAATTTGTCTAATTATACGAGCAGGGAATTTCAAAATAAACGTCAGATTCCAACTTCAAATCAGCACGTGAAGTTTAATGTGGGTAAATACAGTACCGTTACCCTGAGAGGGGAAAGTTTACACTCAATCTTAATCATGCCCAAGGAAGAAGAGAAAGATAACGGGATTTCTTCTTTATCTGAAGCAGACATGCTTACAGGCACGTTATTTTGCAACAAAATCACAGGAACTGAGTTGACGAAGGTATACACTTGTACGAGAGGGCTTAAAATAAGATTGACCTTTCCGTGTCCATCTCCAGCAGCTGGGTGGACATGGGAAGTTCACACTTATTTTCAATGGGTATCAGAAACTGGCCGAGCCCGAAAGGCGAAGGAAAGCCTGCGAGTCATAAGCAGCACGTATGTTTAAAAAATATACACACACAATGCCATGCGAAGTGAATAAACCAAACCTGAACGTTTTGTTCTAGCTTTGAACTCCAGTAGCTTCCAACCGACATCAGCCAAGCTGGCCATGTTTATAGAAGAACAAGACGACGCGACACTGTCGTAAAACAGGAAGTGCTGATTTTATGCTGTCACTCGAACTTAAAATATACTATTTTGATGTTTCAAAAAATAAAACAGAAACATTGTAATCATAAAATTATATAAAATACCATTTTAATTTCCCGTGTCATAATTTCCACTGTTTTGTTTGGTGTAAATTTATTAACAGTTAATTTTTTTCGAAGCTGTCATTTGCTACACTGCCGTCAAGTGCTATGCCGTAGTCCAGTTTCTGGTCTAAGCAGCAACAATGATGTGGTTAAAGTGTATTTTCGCATTTTCGTGTGTAATATTTTTCTTCGGACGACGAGCTGTCGCCGCTCTTCAGGACGTGACATCGGATTTATTTGGATCTGAATTTCATGGCACTGTCGCTGCCTTCGGGGATTTTAATTCGGATAAACAAACAGACATCTTCATCATCCGAGAACGTTAGTATTTGCTATGGTCAGGAGTTCCTGTGTTCAGAAATAGTACTATAGAGAGAGGAAAAAGCCAAAATCAGTGTGTTCAACGTGTAAAATAGGATTACACTGATATTATACGATGAATGGCTTAACGTTTCATAGGCTGTGTGTCAATTTCCTCTGCGTAGTTTAAGGGGGTGTGGTTGAATGTTTTCTGCTGATACTAGTAATGCTAATTTACTATTCCAACATATTATTTTTTAGCTAGCAGAAGTTACTTTTTGTAATGTGTGGGCGAGGCGTAGTTTATTTTCTTAATGCCTTTATCATTAAACAGAAAGGAGGAGCACATGCCACTTATATATACATTTTCTGTTTAATTTTTACTTTTCAGATTCTGAAGTGATAATCTTCCTGGCTGATCTGAAGATCCCATACTTCAAACCAAAAGTTAATCTGTCCAAAGAGCTCTTCCCGTGAGTATGGGCTTTTCAGATCCATTTTTTTTGCATACAGCTTGTCATTCATGTGTCAATAACACGGCCATGTTACTTTGCTAGGGACGTTATCATTAGCAGTGTGGTGCCTGGAGACTATGATGGCGATTCGCAGATGGACGTCTTGCTCACGACCTACCCGAAGGGAAAGAATACAGAGGAGACCAAAGTTACCATTTACTGGGGAAATAATCAAACTTTAGGTACTTTAATTTATTGGTATCGGTTGTATTTTATAAATTATAATGCCAACACACCTCTGTAATTACACCCTGATAATATAAAAGTGCAATTAAATACATCATGTCTAATTATGTGACACTCACAGTATATTCATTTCACTTGCCTTTTTGTCTAATTTTTGTATTTTGTTTTCCTTTTTGTATTTCAATGTATGGCTTTATACCGAGTCATGTCTTTTTTAAAATTTTGTGCAGATAAAAATGGAAAAATTGATCTGAACATAACGTTTTTGGATGAGCCCCTGGTCATGGAGTAAGTATTTGGCGTAAGATGTTCTGGACTGCAGTAGGCAGATGTTTTGCAAGAGAAACCTGCATGGTTTTCAGATGTACATATTTAAGACCGAATGTTGTAGCAACATTGTTGAGGGAATAGTGCAAAAGGGTTGTTTTTTTTAACATTTAATACATAGTCTACTAAGAATGTATTCAGTGTTTCTCTTTGAATCGGTGTTGAATGATAAATTAAAACTGACAGTAATAATCCCTGATTAATTTTTCTGTACCTTTTGCAGTTTTAATGGTGATATGATTCCAGACGTATTTGGTACCAATACAGACCATTCACCACGGGCGTGCTACTTCAAACAAAAGTACGAAATGACACCAAGGCTACAGCTGGCTTCTCACTGCAGCTATAGCTTTCTTTCCTTGGACCGATTTTGAGAAAATTTATGAAAATGCCTTGGCGTGACTAACTAATTTTGCTGTTTTTTATATATATGTTTTTTTTATATATATATAGCTTGTGGTGTCAAGTGTATGGAATTGATAATGATGATATGATCTCTATTCAGGAAAGTAGTATGTGAAGCAGCCCTTGAACCAACTATCTCAATGTACACCCCACATTCCAATGCATTCATTGACCTCAACAAAGACTTCACAGCGGGTAAGAGACTTTTAAATTATTCTGTTCTTTCTAAACATGCTAATTTTAATGGAAACTGTTTGTTTAGGCAGAGATCCGGTATGGGGATGCTCTGTTTCGAGTGACTCCCTTGTAGAAGCGGTTTAATGCTCTGTGTACTTCGTTCGCTCTACCAGAAGCTGTAAACATTGCTTTCATTGGGTAAATTTGAGAGACTGGATTTTGTGGCACAGCTGGGTAATTTATGTCGACGTGGGAAAAGGAGTGGCGCTATCTGTCAGACCGTAGAAGGAAAACGCAGAAAATGTCTCGTAAATCATAGAGGGAACAAGTGTTGGTTTGAGTTTTAGGCCCTTGGTGGTTTGTAATAATGCGTAAGGCTGAACAGTGGCTTTATTTGGTGTTGAATGTATACAGGCTGTACAGCTTTATTATAAACTGCGGAGCACTACAGGGCATTGATCCATTATGGTTCTGAAAAGGCAAGCGGAAGGCAGGAGTCTTACTGTGTAATGGACTGCGTTAGTGAGTCGGTCTGGCTGCGCGCCCTCCCTCGTTAGTGTGTGTAGCGCATGCTTTGGGTAAAAGCCCTGGGGATGATTTATGTGAGCCGTCTGCTGGTGTAGCTGCATTCGTTCGCACCCTATTCACCAGCCTTCCTCCGAAGGGCCTTAGTCTGCTCCCTATATGCTGGTCCCCCTTCAAGAAGGAATTGGTCCACCATCCCCGTCCGTCAGCCCTCCTCCAAAAGCCATTGGTCCACCCTCCCCGTCCTTCAGCCCTCCTCCAAAAGCCATTGGTCCACCCTCCCTGTCCTTCAGCCCTCCTCCAAAAGCCATTGGTCCACCCTCCCCGTCCTTCAGCCCTCCTCCAAAACACATTGGTCCGCCCTCCCCGTCCTTCAGCCCTCCTGCAAAAGACATTGGTCCACCCTCCCCGTCCTTCAGCCCTCCTCCAAAAGACATTGGTCCGCCCTCCCCGTCCTTCAGCCCTCCTCCAAAAGACATTGGGCCGCCCTCTCCATCCTCCAACCCTCCTCCAAAGGGCATTTGTCCGCCTTTCCCGTTCTCCAGCCTTCCTCCAAAAGGCCACCCTCCCTCTCGACTGTCCCTCCTCCTCAGGGCACTGGTCCACTCCCTGTCCACCATTCCTCCTCGGAAGGGCATTGGCTCACCCTCCCTGTATGCCAGCCCTCCTCTGAAGGGCATTGGTCCACTCCCTGTCTGCCAAGCCTCCTCCAAAGGGCATTGGTACACTCTCCTGAAGGCCTTTTTTGTAGTTCTTACCATGGGCAAGGGACTCAAGATCAGTGCCCCATAAGGCTGAGACACATTCTGGTTTTCCATCTCTTCAAACTGCTAATAAGCCAGATTTATAGAGGATTAATTAGTTAAATTGGCGGAATCATTAGTTCAATCTAATGCTTAAACACTGTCTAGTGGTTGTTGGCTTCGGGTGGAAATCATTACAGCTGAACACCGGCAGCAGTGACGAAGGTGCCCTGACAGACACAGTGAGATGTGCTCCTTCACCACAGCATCGTAGGGTCACCATCCCCAGTGGGACATCAGAATAAAATCCTCATAGCTTACGGCAGCTCTCAGATCGGGTACCTAGTGTCATTGTCACAGGGGATATTTGTTGATACCGTGATGTCATTCTTTTTGGCAGACAGCTGATGTCGATCACAGCATGCTTCAGTCCCCCTTCCAGCTCACAGATATGAAAAAACATGAGGCGTTACATCCAGACCTGCCAGACGAGAAAAGCTTCAGACTCTGAATGAGTTATTCGCTAATGTACGTTTATAGAGAAGTGCAGAGTCGTTAGGGCTGAAGTCTTTCTGTGTCTTCCTAGGAGTGCGATATCACAGTTAAGTTCATTAAGCCTCGACTGAGTTGCGCCTGTGCTTTGGCATGTTGATTTGATCTGGCACTATGCCCTCATATCTGTAGGGGCTTGGATTCAGTTCCTGTGTGTGGAGTTTGAGAGTTCACCCACTTTTTGCTTGTGTTTCTTTCTGAGTCCTCCAATTTCCCTGCACAATCCAGAGTAGTAGTGGTTCCTCTAGTTTGCTCTGCATGTGTGTGAGAGATTGTACCCTGTGATGGATGGGATCTCTCATGGGACCAATGCTTACATCAGCATCGGTCCCATGTTTCAGTCTTGGTCGATATAACTGGCCGATATTTAGATTTTATTCATTATTTAGTGAATGTGCTGTTATGCTATTTTAGCTGATATTTAGTCAATATTCAATCTGTACGCTATTATGCTGATATTTTAAATAGCGTTAATTTAGTTTAAAATCAGCATTGGTTTTCCACATTAGCAAAGGTGCTCTAGTTAATGCTGTAGTTAATGTTGTAGTTAATGTTGATTCTGTGAGCTGCTAACTGGAAGCCTACCACTTGTGTGGCTGTTTTTCTCTTTGTAAAAGGGGACAAAAGAGTATCTGTCTACGCTAGTGTTTCTGAAACCAGTCCTCGGGGAGCCTCGGACAGTCCACGTTGTGGCTCTCCCAGCTCCCAGGGAACTGGGAGAGAGCAAAAATGTGGACCGCCGGAGGTTCCCTGAGGACTGGTTTGAGAAATACTGCTCCAAACTACCTGTAAGTATGGGACGATGTGAGAAATGCGTGGGGTTAGGTCTTTCAACACCTCGGATTTGATTAGCCCTCTGAAGGAAATGTCCATTATCGATATCAGCAAAAATTTCCACGTTAACTATTGCTTGATAGCCCTTATCCAGTAAACAATTCAGAAACTGCTTGATTGCGAATATATTGTACTTTTTACTTTCATTAACATACCAAATGCTGGTTATTTTAGCCTGTGGCTTGTAACTGTTGAGTATGACCAGGGTTTCTCAATATCCAAATCTAGCCTGATTGTTATAGAGACTTGGCTCCCCGTTTTTTGCCCATTATGGTGTGCTTAGTGAGTCAAAAATCACAGATAATTTATTTGCTGGGGGGAGGGGCTTAGTGGTGTCAGCCATTGGTGTACTTAGCAAACCGTAAAATGCATGCTGGTTCAGAACAGCGCTTTATCTCCCTATAATGTTTTTTAACGCTCAATTGGTTTGTAACGCAACGATTTTTTTGCATCAGCTGAGAGAGCGTTACCTATTTTCTCAACCACTGAGTAAATAAATCTATTTCATCCCCTGGGTAATTTTCATGTCACTTTTCCCGTACCCTCTTGCTATGAATACATCTTGCCTTAAAAAATGAAAACATCTCTTTAAAAATGAAAAAAAGAAAACAGCAGAACAAAGTCCTTGGATATGAAAATGCATCTGTGTGGGACCTGCCTGGGGTCCTTGTGCCTTCCTACAGGGGCGTGATGTTTAAGTGCAGTATTAATTAATTATTAAGCCTGCGGTGGATGTGGACTTTACTCCCACCTGGCAACCTCTCTTGTTTATGGATCTGGACATTAAAATTCATAAAAGCGATGATGGCATGTGGACCTTTCCAGCAAGGCCAGGCGCGGGGCGCGCCGGGACGAGCAGGATTGATCCGAAGCCTCCCGCATACTGATGTCCTCCCGAAACACTCCCTCCTCCCCCAGGAAGTCGTGCTGTTTGACGTGAGTCAATATGGCTGATGGGTGTCCCAGTTACATGCCTGACGAGAGAATCTGCGCAAAAAATAAAGCAGGCCCTCGACAGGGGCTGTGACGTTTAGCGAATCATCAGGATTCCTGAGCAGTTTATCGTGCTGTATTTATTTTTAAAAATATATGCTAACTAGCACACAGACGCGGCGTGAAAGCATGTGAAAGCTTGCTCTGTTTGGAGCTTTTTTCTGGCTCATTCTTTGTCTTTTTATCGGTGGATGAACGCCGTCCATAGCACCGTTTTCTGACCAAACCGGGGCTTCGGAAATGACCCCTATGGCTTCCTGTCACCGCGGTCCTCAGCCCGCTGTCTGCCGATTGGCTGTAATGACAGAAAGAGCTTTCTGGATCTCTGCAGCCAGAGAGCAATTGCAGTGGATTAGCAGAGCCAAATGCCACCCCATAATTACCGCTGTCTAGTGTGCAGAGTCGTTGGGTGGGGGGCGGGCAGCCAGAAAGCAAATCAGAGTTTGTTTCCTCTACAGGACCCACCTCCTGTTGTCTGGGACACTTGGTAGTGATCCTTAAAGCAGAGTGGGGGTGGCGGCATGAGAAAGATCACCGGCGAATTGGGCCTCTTTAAATTATTCTTGTTCCTTTGGTTTCCATCCATTGCGTTTTAGGCGCTGACGCCGTTAAGTTCCCGTAGCGCGATATAAACTCTGACGAGATGTCCGCTCTCATTGTGGTCTTCTTCTGCCAAGTAGCTGTGAGGTTTTTCTCTTCTTTTTTTTCCCTCTCTCCTTCAAGGGCTCCCACTCCTCGTTACCGATTGCATGTTAAAAGACAAATGGAAGAAGAACAAGACTAGTATCATAGGAGCTTCTCCGCTGAGAATTTAATGAACCAATTTGGATAACGTTGGAGGGGTGCGGGTGTAATTTCTCTTCTGAGTCTTAGCCTGTGCGGGATCTGGAGTAGCACATAGCATCCGCCTCTCAGCCGTCTGTGGTCTTTACGGAGATCTGGCCACGGTTGGGAATTGTGAGCCGTTCCATGCGGGGTGGATGGCGTCCACCCATTGACCTCCGTGGACCTTGGTTCCCAGATCACAATTCTGGTCCTCGGGGTCTCATTTACGCTCCTCGTTGGACCATCCCCTTTGTCCTCCTCTTGCTCTTATCCCGTAGGAAGGTCATGTCTCTATGGTAACGTCGTACACTTCCCAGTGTGAACCTCGTGTCGTGTCGGCTTTGTGTCTCGGCTGGTGATGGGGGCGAGCCAGGACAAATTAGGTAAGGTGTAAACAGCCGGACGAGCGGAGATGGGTTCTTCTAATAGACCCGTCTCGGCGTAGACGGGAGGCGTTATGCTGCTTGAGGGATCCACGCTGAAGCCGACGCCAGCAGGACTTACAACGGAGGGCCAATCGGTGCTTAAAATGGAAATGAGCTTTGA